GGTCTTTGAACTTTATCCGTTACACTAAGTGTACCTATGTGGATAAGTAGTTTGAAAGTCACGATGACGAGAAACAGTTGTCATGTGATCGTAAGAAAATTACAAATATTCACAAACATAATCGATTTTTACAATATATTTATCAAAATAACGTACTTGATACAAATAAAGTCTATACTTGAATAACGCCCTTATAATCGCCCATTTATAAGTGTATTTTTGGGGATGTGGGCTTTATTACCTACGTGTGGAGGTAGGATGAAGGAAATTAATATTGTAAGAACTTAGGTACTTACCGTATAAAATGTTTATTGTTACTCTTTTGCGCAACTGAAAAACTATCTCTTATAACATCATCATCATCTGCTTCTTCCTTATCCCATTTATTTGGGGTCGGCGTCATATGTTTTTCACTTCGATTCATCCCTGTTCGCAGTCATCGCGTTATTTACTTCCGTTCTTACCATATCAACTATCTCTTATAACATATGGGTTTAAATTTATACGCTATTGAGTAAATTAATCAAAATATAGGAATAAGTTTAAATTAAACGTGTGCAGTTCCCATTTTAATTGATTCTTAAAAAAGTCTCTAGATGCTATTCTGTGATATCTCAAATATTCTTAATAAATATTACGTTGGTTATGAAATACTTTTACACAAACTAGCGACTAGACTTTTACAAAACAGTAATGCACTGTAGGTATTAGAAATAAAACCTTACATGTGATTAAATCCTATTTACATGATAGAATGCAAACATTTGAAATAAATGCTGTAAAGTTTCAAGAAGTTAATATTAAAATGGGTGTTCCTCAGTGATTCATTCTAGGTCTTTTTTTTATTTTCAGTTTACATAAATGACCTTCCTTACATGGTAGAATAAATAGAATGACATGTGAAAACAGTGCTCTCTCTTCTGTGTTAAAATTGTTTACTGCTATTAATATGGTAATAAATGCAAATAAAAGTGTATTAAATATATGTTCCCCAATGTGAGGAAGATAAATTCCTAGTGAATTTGTCACGATGGTTTTCAAAATAAGGTCAGGTGTGTTTAGTCCTGACTTTATGTTCATCTTATCAACCTCCACTGTTGCCCAACCAGGATAAACCGTTAGCGCAGGCAGGTCCACCATTCTATCATCATCCACAAACAGTTACAGAACCACAGACAGATACAAAGTTATATCTTAGAAACTCTGTCTGTGTGTCTTTTAGTATAAACTTAGATTGGGCTTATGAAAAGAAAATACGCAAGTCCAAGTATTAATCACGCTACAACAATGGGAACGGGGTTGCAATGAGAAATATTGCATAAAGTTGCGTAGGTAAAATAATTCTACTCGCATTAAAATAAAAACAACGCAGGCGTTAGAGAACTTTACATAGTGGTTATATTATACACGTTATGTTCATAAAAATTAGCAAACATTAAATAAAAATTAGCAAACATTAAAAAAAAAGTAACAGTGTACCAAATGCTTTAATAAATTAAGTGCATTTGTTACACTTTATGTACTGATATATTGTTTTCTATTTCATGTAATATATGATATCTGTCAGTAGTCATAAACTGTCAACGAATGTCACACTTTCACGACTTGTATACTGATGGATTGACTGATTGACGCACAGATCTAGATTTGTTAGGACTAATAAATTTAACACATATAGCTGAGTTTCTTCTGAATATTTATTTTTATTTTTGTATATTACATAATAACTTCCTGGCCGTGAATTTTACCAATATTTTCATTCTTGATAAGTTCAAGTATTCATACTTCATGAGAGGGATCGTCGTTAGGAAAGAACTTGAGTCTTGGATCAGTGTTCTCAAAACCTGTATTAGTTTAGGGAAAGATGGTGATTCAAGTGTTACTAGAGAATTTTTTTTTTATGATAATGAATTGGTGCTACCGCCTGCGGAAACTGTTTACGCTGGCGGGGCACCAGTGGAGGATGATAAGGTGTATATGAGGTCAGGTCAGTTAGCCCATCGTGGCATAATAGGAATTTATCACGATGGTTTCCAGGAGGAACCGTGTGGAGGTTAACCTGACTTGGTAAATTGCTAGCAATGAGATCATCAGTCCACATTACTAACAATCCCCTTACCCCTCTACTAGACTAGACTAGGCAGTGAACAATCACACATTCATATATTTTGCCAAACTCGTTGGATTAAAACTCTTAAATGTACTCTAACACTCTCAGAGCAAAATTAATCTTTGCACTTCAGCTGACAGAAGTACTTAAATAGAACTTAAAAGTATCTCAGTAAATTTTCACCTCAATTGTATCACTCTTTGGGGACTTTCTAACAGTATAGTTTAATCTCGTCTTCATCTAAAAAAGTACTAAAAATGGCACATTTGTTCAAGGGATATCTGTATGATTTTTTAAATTCCAATATGGCAAATGTTTATGAAATATTTTTGTCCACTTTTTTCTGCAATATAAATTTCCAAATATTCTTTACCCATTATTATCTTCTATTCAGACTTTTTCATCTAAACTTATATTCCCTATGAGGTTGTTTTAAGTTAACTATTTCAGTATTTTGTCAGTTTCTTCAAATAGCTTTAGAATAAAGACAAGTCAGTACAACAGCTAAAATTATTTTGTTGCTTGGTTTGACGTTTTTATGAATAAACCAAAGTTAAAATAGTTTTTTTCTTTTTAATGTTGACTAAATAATGATGAAATAGTCAAGAATTAATTTTTTATCATGCTAATTTACATACGTAGTAGAACTACATATTAACAATATGTAAATATTTGCAATATCCATAGGAAGATTAGTAGTTGTTATCGATAGAGGATAAAAGAAATAAAAAGTATGATTATAAATATTCACACTTCATGAGAGGGATCGTCGTTAGGAAAGAACTTGAGTCTTGGATCAGTGTTCTCAAAACCTGTATTAGTTTAGGGAAAGAAGGTGATTCAAGTGTTACTAGACAATTTTTTTTTTATGATAATGAATTGGTGCTACCGCCTGTGGAAACTGTTTACGCTGGCGGGGCACCAGTGGAGGATGATAAGATGTATATGAGGTCAGGTCAGTTAGCCCATCGTGGCATAATAGGAATTTATCACGATGGTTTCCAGGGGGAACCGTGTGGAGGTCAACCTGACTTGGTAAATTGCTAGCAATGAGATCATCAGTCCACATTACTAACAATCCCCTTACCCCTCTACTAGACTAGACTAGGCAGTGAACAATCACACATTCATATATTTTGCCAAACTCATTGGATTAAAACTCTTAAATGTACTCTAACACTCTCAGACCAAAATTAATATTTGCACTTCAGCTGACAGAAGTATTTAAAGAGAACTTAAAATAAAAGGATCTCAGTAAATTATCACCTCAATTGTGTCTCTTTGGGGACTTTTTAACAGTATAGTTTAATCTCGTCTTCATCTAAAAAGTACTAAAAATGGCACATTTGTTCAAGGCATATGTGTATGATTTTTTAAATTCCAATATGGCAAATGTTTATGAAATATTTTTATCCACTTTTTTCTGCAATATAAATTTCCATATATTCTTTACCCATTACTATTCAGACTTTCATCTAAACTTATATTCCCTATGAGGTTGTTTTAAGTTAACTATTGTAGTATTTTGTCAGTTTCTTCAAATAGCTTTAGAATAAGAAGATAAAGACAAGTCAGTACAACAGCTAAAATTATTTTGTTGCTTGGTTTGACGTTTTTATTAAAAAACCAAAGTTAAAATAGTTTTTTTCTTTTTAATGTTGACTAAATAATGATGTCATAGTCAAGAATTAATTTTTTATCATGCTAAATTAATTTTTTACATACGTAGTAGAACTACATATTAACAATATGTAAAAATTTGCAATATTCATATGAAGATTAGTAGTTGTTATTGATTGAGGATAAATGAAATAAAAAGTATGATTATAAATAATTTATATAAATATATTCGTTTTCTAGACTTAAAGTTAAGGTAACATTAAGCTATACCCATATTATACATTTAATAAATATGTATTGTGATGATCAATTAATACCTACCCTATGTTGATTTAAGCTTGTATTTAGTATATTACAATTATTATGATTTAATGTTATAATTTATTTATATTACGACAAATGTATGTTAGTCTATAAGATATTTGTAATATGGGTGATTATACCAAGTGCACTGTAGCATGGTGCAGGTGACAGTGTCATTAAGGGTTTGTTTCACTCTTAAATTTACAAATTATGACTTAGTATGAAATACTAAGTCATTAGCTGTACCACATTTGTAATATATTAAATCATTAATAACTGTATTAACTTAAATGTAGCAATTGTTAAATGTAAAATTAGTAACTGCCACCCGCATCTTGCTACAGCGCACACAGTATAGTAGTCAGAAATAAATAAATAAAATAAATTACATTTTTTATGTGATCTCCAATCCCTGCGTATCTCCTAATATTGTAATGTTCAATAGTAATCATAATTATCACCTATCTGCAAAGGCCGTTTCAAGTTTGTAGTTAAATTATAAAAGTATAAAAGTAGATCTAAAATCACTGTTCACATTGGAATCACAATATCCTATAAAATATGAGTTTATACTACAAAATTATTTACACAACTCTGGTATACACCTCTATTATAAAATTTATAAAAAAATATACATTACAACAAACAAGTTGTAGTACAACCAATAATAAAAATAACTGAACTGTTTTTCCTTAATAATAGTTTTTATAAAGAAGAAATTCTAAGTGGAATATATGATGTATACTAAATATATACAATACTCCAATATTGATAATATTGGTGTATTGTACAATAATTATATTATATTTTAAATATAAAGCCCAATTTACACTCAGCCTGAGTGGGCAGGGAAGTGAGCAGCGCGAGAGTGTAAACATGATACTTCTCATTCCATTCGCCACTCGCGCTGCCCCACGCTCCCTCGATTGTCGGTTTTTCGTGCAAGTCAAAGGACTGGCAGCGTGTGTTTACATTCAGCCCTCTCGCTCAGTTGTCGCCCGGCAATATTTCCGGCAGTACGAGTGGCAGGGAAAGCGGCTGAATGTAAACGTAGCAAACAAGCACTATTTGTATAAGTATATATATAAAAAGTATTTGTTATAAATATTATTAGTAAATAGCTTATTATATAAATAGGTATTGTAATAGATATATACAAAATCTGTACTATTGTTTAGTATTTACCTATTGAGCTGTGACATATTAACATAAGCTTCATATCTCTATGTAAATGTCAGCCTTTGATCAGTAATAATATAAATATTAATTTATGAAATCTACTTGTGAAAGTGTTATAACAAATACAGAATTGTGTGATTATAATCAGTCTTTAGTTTCTCTTCTGCTCCTTCAGCAGTTTGTTGTAGTCATCCCTCACCGTCTTGCACTCACTTTGGAGATCTTCAAATTGATTCTGCAATATAAATTAGACAGATTAATGAAATGTATGATGGCCTATATAGTCTAGAGGTTTAGCACAGCACTTTACCTCCAATGATCACGGGTTGATTTCCTCGCATGGTGCATAGATTTATATTAATGAGTATGATTGTTTATATCTGTCTGGGAGTTTTGGTATATTATGTAAGTATTTAAGAAGAATATATGTAAGTATTAATATCAGTTTTCTACCGATAACACAAGTTCTACTTACCATAAAGCTTGATGGTGTTAATTAACTGTCCAGGGTAATTTATTTATTATTATGTATTTGTTTCAACAAAATGGTATCTTTAATAACATTATTATCAGCAAAACAATTTATCATCCCAGGGCCAGCTATACTACTCTAGTCATTACAGATTTTAGCCTACTAACAGCATGTTAACCAGATAGCTCGGTAGATGGTTTTCTTTTGAATTATGTTTCTTGTAACAGACAAACTAATTTACTTGAAAGTTTACAGAAATTTCTTCATATGTTTACAATACTTGTACACAATAAATAGAAGAAACTGAATATTAAATTTATGAAGTGAATATCTAGTAATATTTTATACATAGATTGTCTTTGCATGTGGACCTTAATATAACAGGACTAAAGTACATATATTATAGTATCATATCTAAAAAGACAAACCTCATCAGTAAGAATATATATTATCTTTATAACAAAAATTTACCTGACATATAGCTGTTTGTTGCTTCATAGCGACACAGCTCTCCATTATCTCTTTAAATTTCTCCTTCTCAGTTTCCTGAGCTTTTTGTGTTTCTGTAAGTAATTTATCTATACGGTTTTTGTACTCCGTAACTACTGAAAAAGTTAAATGTAAAAATTTATTTCCTAACGGTCCAAATAAATATTTTTTCCTTATATTATATTGATACAATTGTATGTTTACCATTTAGCTGATATTTTACAGATCTCAACTCAGAAAAACATCTTTGTTCTGACCACTCCACGCTGTTTTCCTCTTGTAAATATTTAATGTAAAAATAAACTACAGTTACAGTTACAGAGAAAATTATAAACAAAACAAAAATAACAACTCTCGATCTCGACAATGTACGTGAAATCATTTTAACAAAATTTATCGAAAGTAATTAACATGCAATATTCTTATACATACAAATGTTTAACAGAAAATTAAAAAAACAATCTCATAATTTAGTTACATATAAATGTTGTTTTAAATATTTAAAATCTTAGAATTGAACATTCCCTTTTATCTATTAGTTTATTGATGGTTGATAACAAAACAAATATAGTGTATTATCTGTTGCCTGTTGATTGACAGATTGCCGTCAATGTCAAACAGATTCAATCAGTGTTGCCAACAATGTTTGGGTGACGACAGTATACAAAACACTTCTCTCTCTTCGTCTGATATACTTACTTTGTTCTTTAATGCTAAACACCAAAAACCACTCAAAGACTACCAATTTTTTAAAGAAAAAAACATGCTTCGAGAAATAGATCATATTTGACTGGTTTTTTTACTCATAATAATATAATTGGTATTATAACTATAATCTGTTTTTTTAATCTAAGAGACTTAATCGACATATATATATATATATATATAGGTATATAAATGTCAAATTTTCAAACATGTGTAGGGGATAGTGCTGTACCTGCGATACTGATTAGTTGAATCATAATTTTTTATTCGCGACGATTAGTTTTCAGCCTTTCTTCATAGTTTCAACAACATTTAAAAATTTACGTAGGCACACTAGTGTTTCTCCATTACTATCTTTGTATTAAACAACACGAAAATTCGTTTTTGTAATTTCAGTACACATAGTAATTCATACAGTATTAAGCGACGCAGTTTACGTTTTTTTTCTTTCATACATCTAAATATTTTAAACAAGTATAGGTTCTATAAAATATGACATCATACGAATGTCATTTACCCAAAGAAATCTTAACTTTTATTTTGTGAAATACATATCAAGAAAAATAATATATTTTCATATAACTATATGTAATAATATCTATACTTTATTTATTTTATCTTAATACGTGTAAACTGAAAACCCACATATTATTTGATTGAAATCAATTTAAAACGGTAATAAATATTAATTTCCGATTGCGTCTTAACTCTATTTAAAAAGTGAAAAAAGGTGGCGACGTAGGTAATATAAAATTTGTTGCCGAGATAAAAAACATATTATTGAGCACAACATTTTTTTCAATTGTATAATCATTGTATAGAATAATCAGTCTGTAGACTGTTTACTTCTGAACAATAATTATGAAACTAGAAAATGGCTCATGGCAACACATGTCGCCTGAGCCAAGAGAAAAAAAAAAACAATATTAAATATATTTTCTTTAGTATGCAATATGTTTATATAGCTTTTATTACTGTTCTTATATCAATCACGAATCCGTAAATAGATTTTGCCACATATTTAAAAAAACATCTCTATAAATATACCTTATACCTAAAGTTCGATATCAATCGTTCCACGGTTTCCACCTTAGTAATATAGCCAATAAACCTGTTGAATTTGGGCACCGATGGCAGATAAAATTTATTACTAATAGCTAGTCTTAATACTCATGTAACAATGTCCTAAAAACTATGACTAATTTATTTTGATACTGAAGTACTTTTATGTAAGTATGTTCTACTCTATCCTAAATATAAAGGTCATATCTTACGACAAAAGTTATAAAAGCACAAAAAGATAACCAAAACTATCTTATAATACCGTTGACATTATTTTTATTTATTGAATCATAATTAATTGCTTATTTATTGGCTTTGACGTCTGAGAATATAACCATATTTGATTAATATGTACATTGATACGAAAACTAATTACTTTGTATATATATTATGTGGAACATAGGTCTACCAGAATTTCATGTCAAATAGGGATATTAAAACTAGTAATGTGAAACACTAGGGAAATTGAACTGAATAGACTTGATACTAGTTTTTCGGCTCAGTCTAAATATAATTTTTATTTGGAAGTTCCAATTTTTTTGTTGGTAAGGGTATCATATATGAATTTAAACTTTAATACTAATTTAATTTAAGTACTAAAAAACGTTAACAGCGTGAATTAGATCTGTAAAAGTAAAGACACTCGGATCACTCGTACGTACTAGTTACTAAACAGTACTAATTACTACCTACAACATTTTTAAGTTACTAGTTACAGTTGAAAGAAAAGACAGCCATCGTTTTTTAAAAACCGAACTCTACGTTATTTTTTCTTAGATTCTATATTTAAATTTGTTGGACACAACAGTACATTATACCATGTATACCAGTAACAGTACCGTATGTAAGTAATGTTGCATTATGTAAAGACAGATCTCTATACAATGATTTTACAGCAATGTATCATGTCTGATTGATCTCCAAGTATAGTAATTTCTGGTAAATTCACCACCATTTGATGACTGATTTGACTTCATTAATCATCAACCTTATTAATAATCAACTGGCAGCATATATCGATATCTCAAGCGAGATGCAATACATAATAATGCATTTAAAATGTGATAAAAAATGTCTTATATAAATAAAATAAATTAACATTAACTTCAATTCTAGTAACTACGTAGTTATAATAACTAGATAAATACAATAAGCAAACCCCTCCCGTCACAAGCTATCTATAGTAACTATATAGGTGCAGTTCTAAGAATAATAATAATCACTATATAACTACAGTAACTATGGAAGTATATAATTACAAAGTATCGACACCGTACTTCAGTACTGCTACTGTACTCGTTACTTTGTTCCCATTACGTACCATTTGCAACAGTACTAGTGTGAATAAGTATTTTTCTTTTGGCTTTTGCTATTTCTATTATGTTAGCTTGGTAATGGCTATGACCAAGTTTTGTATTAAATCGGGCCAATCGGAATGAACTAGTAGGCAGTAAAAGGATATCATTTCTATTTATCAGTTACCGCGCTATATGTAGAGTGGCGCTCCGCTCGCTGGCAGTTAATGGAAGAACTATGACTACAATGTATATATAGGTAGGAAAATATATAACCATATAGTCGAATCAAATAATGCTGTCAACCATTAACGTTCCATCTTCTAGTATATACTTAAATATCTTATAATATTTGTCTCAATTCATAAGACATGACAGAAGATGATTTAACTAAATTAATTACAAAGAAACAACAGAAACGTAATGAACGAAAATGAATATAACGAACTGAAGCCGACTGAACGAACAGAATGACAAGAGTCAGGAACTGTGCAGTCATTCATAAGTATTTTTTTCTTCTGGTTAGTTTATTTTAGCATTTACATAATGTAACAGAGGGCACCACATTCCATACAGTATTTATTTTGATAAAAGACTTTAAACTTTATCGAATTACAATAAGATTCAAAATAAATAAATTAGAATCTAAAAGTGTATGGTCTAGCGATGGGAAATTGTTTAAAAACTCGATTAATAGACGAATAATTTTGATTGCGTAGTAATATGCAATTATTTATTTTTTAAATAATTCAGATCTGGTGTCTTTGCCCGAATGTACTCGCTTTTATAGGTTTCTAATTGTTTTGTTTACGATACCACGAGTGTGGTCGTTGAGCTTTGTAAAATAGATTTTATTATTTTTTATGTTAAGACTTTAGACGAGAGAATTGCATATAAGAATATTTTATTAATTTAGTATTCAATTAATTAATCGATTTTATACGTAATCGATAATTTAACATCACTAACGTAGTAGTCTGTGTAGTCGATGCCCGATGGGTATTGTAGCAATTGGACTCGATGAATGGGCTGTAAACGGCACACTTGCTATCTATTTATTTAGTTTCTTTTGCACGCTCTTCTTCTTTTTTTCATATAATGCCCTTATAATTAAATAAGTCATTTAATTAATTTGACATTCTGATTTTATTTGTATTAATAGCTGTATTTTTTTAATAATAATTATTATATTAGTATTATAATGTTGAATAGTGGCGACTAATTATTAAATAACGGGCACTCGTTACCTATACCTGCGCATATGTGGAGCACAGAACAGTATTGTCGCTTCCTAATGTCCCATCTGGTTTACTGAAAGGTATGATATATTATTATATTATATATATAAATATTTTTATTTGTTAGGCTTTAGTTATGCGTTATTTTGATCGTGAAATAGTGGAACTACAATGCTATAATGTCGAATGTTCTAAATATGTTGCCGTACTTATAAAAATAGTATTTTGTATAATCATATTGTAAACTGATGACATGATAATTGTACCACTAACAAAATGTGGCTTTCATTTTCCGTTTCCTCGATACGTAAACTTCCACAACGTAAAATTGATTTTCCTCGCATTAGACTTTGACACCTCATAGATGTGTGCGTATGTTCTTGCAAACGCGTATTTATATCCTGTTGAATGCGAGAGTATTCGTGTACACAACGATTTCTCCTACATTTGCTGCATAAATTTACTACAAAGAAGTGAACTTGGAGTTGATACAAAATTTTATTAGTATAATATACTAATACATACAGTAGTTGTATGTGAGCATACCACATCTTTGCCATTAAGTTAACTCCACTTATGACAAAGGTATATAGCCAAAATAATAAGTGAATGGTTTCCAAAATTGATACTTAAAAGCTACTAATATCAAACATTACAGCATACTTTGATTGAGAAATTACATTAACAAATCTCCACTGCTTACCCTAATTATATATTACTAAGTGTAAATGCTTGTGGTTATGAGTAAAATCTTAGACTTAGTAATAAAAGTTGTTACTAAGGATACTCTGTTAATACCTATTTAATTATATTATTGTTAGTTAATAAATTAAAATTCAATATGGACATAGTACTGACAGTTTCAAATTAAAATCCATGTACTATAATTACTAGACCAAACTTGGAAATACATACCTATAACTACTTATTTATACAAATAAATATAAAAACAATCATATCAATATAAAAGTCTTTATTATAATTATGTTTTGAATTGAATCGAATCATTGACTAGCAAAGTGTGCACGATGTGTTAAGCCGTTAAACCAATTTTGTAATATAACATGCGCATGTAATGATTGACAGTTTGTGGTGCATTGTAACTTTAAATATTATTATACTGCATTATAGTATAGAAGTTTAATGTTAGAATGTTGGAGTTAGGGTCATATTTGTCTGGTAAAACATTTAACACATCTGTTCATAATCTTCAATTGATTGGAACATGGACTCACTTAATTATTCTGTTGAATACAATTAATCATTAATTATATCTATTTTATTGACTTGTGTATATATCAATATGCAAGCCAGTAGTACATGGATGGTATATAGATCTTCGAGATTGTAATAAACATTACATAGAGAATAATATATTATGTGATAATGAATGAACTCAAATCTGTTCTCTACTAGGTAAGAGAAAATGTATTGAATGTTTTCTCTTCAAGTGACTGACTTTAAGATTTCTAAATTAATGGTTACTTGGTTTTAAACACATAAAAAGCTTATAGTGTAGGTTTTAGTAATTTTTGACTAGATTCATAAATAGAAATGTTACTTACCATTTATTTATTTCTTGTCTTAATAACAAAAATATGATAATAGTAATATTTTCATCTCTAATAGAGTAACCCATATTTAGGTACACTCATATATTATTATAATATATATAACTACAATAGAATTATGTATTCATAAACATATTGTAAAAATGTCTGGTAACAAATTTATCCACTATAGGCATTGTTATTGTCTTGTCATACATTGCTAAGAAATTATATTGTATACAATAGTGTCATAGGTTTCTGCTTAAGTTTAACATTTAAATTAGCAATTTTCATTTATATGTATATTGCTAATAATTTACTATGTTCATTAAAAAGAGACACAACTGTTGAGTGTATTTAGCAATGATTTATTAGTAAAGTTAATTGTGAAGCACTAACTAATTACTGCAATAAACAGCAGACTATAATTAACTTAATTTGAGAGTATTTAACACTACATTTTATAGATGTTAATGTAAACAAAACTTCTTCATTGGTGATTAACAAGTATAGTTTGTTCATTTGATATCTATATCTATTTTATTTGTCTATTGTCAACTACTTACATCTATTTTTATGTATTTATATGTATTCTAGTTTCTATGTATTATATTTATTAATCATTTTGCTCTACCATGTACCACTACAGGGCTCTCAAAAGTAGGATTTGACCCACAAGTAGACAAAAATATAAACACTAGCAATTATATTTTTTGAGTATATATGGAAATGCCTAGATTTTATATTCAATGAAAGATGTAATGTGAAATCCTGCATAGTACTGTATACTTACTTGATTTAAATCTTGCTTTATGGAACTTACAATGATCAATTTATAGTACTGTATACTTACTTACTTGATTTATATCTTGCTTTATGGAACTTACAATGATCAATTTATACATATATAATATATTTACTTGTAATTAAGAGTTTTTCTACCTGTTATATTCTGATCTTCTAAATCTGTTTACCAAAACACCTTATACCTCAAAGTCAAACTCTAAGATATTAGAAAAGACTATATTAGAAGTACTATAGATTATTTTTGCTTATTTTTATTCGTTTTTTTATTAAGTTCTACAAGCTAAGTAATTGTAAAGGTAGTAGTGGAAACCTACGGATATCATATTATCATGTGATATGTATTGATATTACAGGAGACTAAGATATCACGTCTCTTTTCCTGTAATTCTCATTCTCTTCTCCTGCACTGTATCTCATTCTCACATCCTTCAACAGAAACACTGCAAAATATACTGCTGGGCGTTTAAAATATGTAAACTGGGTTATGGATGTAGGTGATATTTACAGTCTTCATCTGGTGAACCTATTTTACATTATAAGAGTTACTCACCTTTATGTCAGCTTGCGTACTGTTATTCTCTACTTTTGATAAAAATAATATCCTAAAGTTCTCATTAAGGTAATCCATACTGTTTGCCCTAAAATAGTGATGGAGCAATGATCCAAATTCAACCATAATTATTATAAATTACAATTTGGTTTTATTATCAAAGACTAATATATTTATATTTATGTTATTTTTTAATGATTTTATGTATTATTTGCATAATTAAAAAAATAATTGGCCTTCTACTATATATATCCTACTCTATACATATAAAGTATAGGTATGCGAAATTTTATACATCTCCCTCCGCGCAATTTTCTTAAAAAGGGTTACGAAGTTTTTGCTTCACATATTAATATAATGATTAGCGAATTTTTTTTTATTAATTTATTTGATTATCCTTTTGTTGCTTAAGTTAAGACATATTATATATAAATAATAGCTGTGCGTGCGCTTTCACCCGTGTGAAATTATAGCCTATATGTTATTCTGATATATAAGCTGTATTACTGTAAAGTTTTATCGAAATATGTTCAGTCGTTTTTGCGTGAAAGAGTAACAGACATCCATCTATACTCACAAATTTTCGCGTTTATAATAATAATAAGATTATCATTACATATATCCTAAAAATCATTTATTCTACGAGGTACAAAGCGAGTTACATAAATGAACTAAATCAACGGCGAAAAATCTATTATACTACTATATATTACAGTACTATATAAAACAATAGATCTTTCAAAAACTGTAGCGCAAAAGGTTATTATCAGAAAAAAAACCTGCCACAACTCATATCTTATAGTAATGGGTAGAATTGAAATTTACGAACTTACAACATTGTAGCTTATACAATTTCTCATAGGCATTTATATATATATATATATATGATAAAAATTTACAAATACGAATACAAAAATAATGTAATTTTTATTTTTAACCCAATAACGTGAACTACACTAACTCTTCCTCTTACCAAATTTGTTTCATTTTCAAGTTTCAAAAATAAGATTGATACTGTTTTGTCATGATATATGATACGATACTATCTATATTATTTTCCATTCTCACATCTTTCATGATCATTCAGATTGTAAGATTATAACAGTGAAAGAAGTGGAAAAGCTACAAATATTGTAATCTTCGTTATTTAGCGATATAAATAAATAAGATAGGTACTATTCTATAGTTCCGTACGTTTTCGTTATGTACTTGTGTACAGATAAAGATGGCCTACAGAGTAGCGAAAATGAAGTAAATGTAGATTTTATTTTGCAGGCGCAATAGATTATCATGGCTGAAGCACATTCGGCGGTAGCATTCTCTTTTGCGATCACCCACGATGGCTGGGATGTAAATTTTGATCGCGAGGTGCTGTACTTGGTCTGGGAGTCTGGTCTCCGGTCGTGGAAGAAACGTCTCGTACGGTTCAGGGTCAGTATTTACTTTATAGTACTTTATGAGGTTCATTTAAATACAAATTTTACATGCATCTTAAATGAAAGATGTAAAATTTGTATTTAAGTGAGTAAATCTATACATATGAATAAAAAAAAATGTTGAATTAACCGGTTTTTGCTATATAATGGCCTATGCGTCTGTTATAGACGAATTATGGCGTAATGGTACGTGAACAGCTCTTTTCGTGGCTATATAAACCAGTTTTTATTACATGCATATCAATGTAAATACGGTACATACACCAAAATAACATTTTTTTACAAATTTTGTCTGACTGGTTCTTTGTTCCGGCTAATCTCTGAAAAGGCTGGACCGATTTTGACGGGAAATATATAAAATAAATAAAAAAAAATATATATATAAAGAAAAAAAGAAGAAAAATTAAGTTAAATTCCACATGGACGTAGTCGCGGGAACAGCTACTTATTAATATTTTTTTAATGCTAACCACATCATTTATTGAGAATTCTTAAATTATACTTCAATTATGACTAAATAACATAGTAATTAAGAACTTTAGTTAACCATTGCAATTACACACCTTTATATTTATATTTTTTTATCATCCTTCACTGGTTCCCGCCAGTGTAAACCGTTAGCGCGGGAGGGTGCAACATTCCATTATCAACCATTAAAAAACTATGAGGTTACCCTAAATTGTGTTGATTCTAGGACAGGGTGAAGTTTGATATTTTAGGCTACAGTAACCGTATACCATGAGATAGGCTGTATGCTTGTTTGCCACCTATGTAGTGTATAAAAAATACTTTCACAATTATAATAATGACAGCTTCGGTAGATTAGCGGTAGCACACCGCCTTACTTCCGATATTTCGCTTCGATTCCTCGCACGGCACAAACATTTGTATTCATGAGTATGAATGTTTGTATCGCTCACGATATTTTCTAAAATATGTATGTATTTACGAAAAAATATATCTACGTGTTTATCAGTTATCTAGTACCTATAACACAAGCTTTCGGTAGCTTAACTTAGGACTAGTTCGTGCTGTGTGAATTGTCCTGAGATTATTATTTTTATATTATAATCATAATGTACTTTCACAATAAATTCCTGATTTATGATGAAAAATGGATGAAACTTATCTGTAGGTTATAATTATGAGACAATGAATCCACAACTCCGGCTACCTATTGGTTTTGTTGTTGCAATGCTTTCAAAGAGTTTCCCTCGCGTTTGCTAGAATTGGTCACTGTGGTTTCCAAGCGAAGCGCGTGGAAATCTAGTTGACAGGATGTAGTTTAGCAATAGAGATACATCTCTGTTAACACTGCACATATTTCGCCGAGCGCACTTGAAACAGACTACTCCAATGGTTAGTAGCAAGCTGGAAACTATGGTTACCATATATATATAAATATATATTTTAAATTTGGTAATAAGAAATATTATTTTTTATATTAAAAATAATTAATTTACCTTATTATGTCACAGAACAGTGTACACAATGGAGTCTACCCTGGACATTTGCAGTCGCTATATGTCTTGTGGACAATATTGGTTGCTGCTCATTTTGGAGGGTTCCAAATACCATTTAATTTAGTACATAAGGCCACAGCAATTTTACCTGGGTAAGTCAATAACCTATACAGACTATACTTTTATTTATTTACTCATACTTATAATATTATGTTTTCATTGGACATGTTTTTGTTTTAGCAACTCAACTATGTGGCAAATTATTGCCTGTCTATTGGCAGCTCTGACAATGTGGCTTTCTGTAATATTCTTTATGAGGTATCTTCTCAAACTACTACTGATGTACAAGGTAAGCAATTTAAGACAATTAGCTATTTTCAAACTATTACTTAAAACAAGATTGCATAATATATTTAATATAGTTTTTTTTACACCTTTTTATCTCTCTGGCGGGGTAGGCAATGACCACTAAATAGCATTATTTTCTTGATTTATGATAGTTTAAATTTAATTTTATATATGTAGTAATGTGAACGATTACATACTTGTATTTTTTTTAAACTTTGACTAACAAAATATGGTACAAAAAGTCTATAGACATTCTCTATAAGTCAACCTTTGGGAAATGTAAAGATATTTTATAGTGGCTAAACATCGAGTATTCAAATTACATGTATACAAATATTAGATGTTTAATAAAATACACAATAATAGTACAATATAGTCAATATAGACATACACAATGCATAGTACGTACAATAGATCCAATCTATGGATTGTGGAATGAACTACCTGCCAAGGATTTCTCACGAGACTAGAGCATATGATTTTTCAAGGAGGGTATATGAAGGTTTCTTAAGGGTCGGCAACGGGTGCATAACACCCCTAGTGCCTCACGCGTCCATAGACTACGGTAACCGTTTAACATCAGAGAGCCATATGCATGTTTGGTACCATAGTAGTATATAAAAAAAATGTACAAACATTTCATGTTTTGTGACATTATTTATGATTTTTTTGAAGAGTTTGTCTGTTATTGGCACTCCCTGGAAGTCTCTACTACCAGGCCTATGGAGATTGTAGATACATGTAACGGTATCCTGCGTAAATTTATCGCATCGTATTAATTCGGCATATGAGATTAACAATACATAAGTGTACACTATATACAAGCGAAAACTTTTTATGATTAAATTTTATATTTAAGTATTAAATCTATTATATATTTTAATATAATATTTTATGTATAATATATGTGTAATTATGAAAGTATGTATAATATAATATATATCCCTACAGTGAAAACTTCTATTAAAGACTTCCCCTGTATCAAATCGCAGCGGGAGCCTAAGATTTAAAATAAATCAAAATATACACATTAAAAAAAAAACGGTGAAACAAATAAAAGGGAATAAAAAAAAAAAATTCGGCATATGAACTATCCGTGTATCAAATTTTATACAATTTTCTACATTCATCCATTCTTCGTCACAAATGTTAACATTTATAATATCAATAGGATTCCTATAGGTGCGTTCAAAACAAAAATCTTTATTCATATAGAACGATACGTTTTAACCGCTTAGTTGAGTTTCTTGCCAGGGAAAAAAATTTACGTGCATCAAATCTTTTCCCTGGCAAGAAACTCAACTGAATTCCATTTTTTAAAGCCAGTTTAATTGCATGTTAATTTTTATAGTTGTCTATGTCTAATTTTAAATGAAAACCCCGTGCATGCACTAGTGCCATGCACGTTCCATATTCCATCATGGTTTAGACTAAATGCTTACGATACACTTGGATGCTCTCTCTGATATCAACAACCGTCTGAATGCGGGGGGGAAGGGGATTATTAGTAATGTGGCCTGTTGACCTCATTGCTATCAACGTACCATGTCATGTTGACTACAAACAGTTCCCCCTGGAAACCATCGTTATGAATTCAAGGGCTAACTGACCTGACCTCATGCTCATCTTATCATCCTCGACTGGTGCCCCGCCAGCGTAAACCGTTAGTACAGAGCACCATTCTATTATCATATATTAAAAAAAAACCGCCTGAGCACCTTGTTCGGGGGCACTGAAGGTCTATGTTACACTAAACTCGCACGTTGTCGCACTCTTGACATTGAACGATACAACAACGTCCGGTATATCATGCATGCGGTCGCTAACGCTTCCTTATTGATAGATTACTTTACCCTTGTACAAACCCTATGTATAAGCATAACTGCTATCTGCATATATCCATACCTACTGCATTATTTATCGAATCTAACCACGATTTTGCGCCGTAAACTGCAGTATCTGGGTCACATAATGCGGAATGAAAAATACAGTCTTCTGCAATTACTCTTACAAGGAAAAATTCAAAATAGAGAATAGAAAATAATTTATTCAAATAAACTTACATTGAAGCACTTTTGAATAGTCATCACATTTTTTTTAATCTACCACTCATTCGGAAAGCTGTCTCATTACAAGAAGAACGAAGAGGAATCTTGCGGATTTCTCTTTTAAATAATGTTATTGTTATCTTTTTAATTGTTACCTTTTGAAGTGTGTGAATACAAACTACCAATTAGCACTAATTCAATTAAATACTCAAGTAGATAAAATATTAAATATACAACCAACTGGTTGAGCAACCAATTAAGAGCAAATCGGTCATCGGCCGTAGTGATTGCTGCCGAAATTGCTGTCGTTGTTGTTGCCAGGGTTGCGGAAGACCAGGCAGACATCGTGGTTAGAAACATCAGGCAGTGGTTTAGGATGAGCACCAGTTTTCTTTTCATGTCCACCGTGGACAAAATAAAGATCGCTAACCTCCAATAGAAGATGGCACTTAAAGAAGATGAAATGTGGTTTAGCTGTACCCGCGGACGGGGGGAGGGGGGTGTTAGTGATGGGAATTCTGGAATGGGAAAAAAATTCCTAGCACAGTGCAAACTTTCATAAGTATTTTTTATCGACGTTTTTAACGATTGTATGTATTGACAAAAAAATCTTAAGTATTTATATCAGTTGTCTAGTACACAAGCGTTACCGTGACTAGATGGCGCTATGTTAATTGTCCAGGGTTACTTATTTATTAGATTTGTCATTGATGGGCTAACTGTTCTGCTCATATTATCATCCTCCACTGGTGCCCCGCCAGCGTGTACCGTTAGCGCAGGCATGTGCATCATTTCATTACCATCCACAAAAAGGCTGTATCCGTGGTAGATCAGCGTAAAATTTATAGCCCAGTAGCTGGGACCGCGGTTTCACCCGCGTAAACTTTCAACATAAAATATTACCTTACGTTAGTCTCATGCATAAGCTACATTATTGCAGCTTCATGAAAAAACGTTCAGTAGTTTTTGCGTGAAAGAGTAACAAACCATCCCCACTCACAAACTATACTTTTAAGTGTTTATAATATAAGTAAGATTATAAAATATTGTTTTAGGGTTGGATGTATGAATCGAGATCACCTGGTGCTAAAATATCTAGAAAAACATTGTTATGGATAGCTATTGTAAAGGTGTTGTCGGGGTGGAATAAACCAAAGCTGTACAGTTTCCAAGGATCCCTGCCGAGGCTCCCTTTGCCGGCTGTCAAAGACACTATGAAACGGGTAAGGATATATTTTACTATCTAATCTAATTTATCTATCTATCTAAGTGTACATATTTTGTTGTGAATATGAAATTTCCGATACGGATAGGTTTCGGATATAGGATTGATTATTATACCGGATACGGATACGGATGTGGATATGAAATTATTTCGAATTATCCATTAGTTTCGGATAATTTCAGTTACAGATTTAATTTTATTAAGGAATTATTAAAGTAAAATACAAATAGCTGATAAAATGGTGTCTTAATTAGGCACCGCCCCTATCCGATATTATCCAACACTTTTATTTCGGATTCGGTTACGGTTACGGATATTTTTTCATATCAGACATCCGATACTTTCGGTTACGGTTACGGAGCTCCCTAAAATCCCTGATATTTAGTTTATATCTGTACTCTAATACGATAAAGAGGATTATAAACTCATTAATTACAAAATTCAATGCGATGATAGTTACGTTCTGTTTACGTTTTAAATGTATTAAATAAGTTATTAAGACATTGGGTTTCACTGAAAATCAGTGTCGTGGCAATAGTATCACATTGGTCATATGATAACGTGATGTCTGTAGTGCTATTCATGTATAAAGACAATTACGTATAAAAATTAATAAACACGAGACGTAGCACCAAATTAATGCATGTACTATGTCATTTGTGTAGGGGCCTACCCCCTAACGCAACTAAATTATATGTTTCAGTATATAAACAGTGTTCGGCCATTATTAGATGACAAAAACTACAAAAGAGTTGAAAAACTTGCAAAGGAATTTGAAGAGACGATAGCAGTTAAATTGCAAAGATATCTTGTTTTAAAGTCTTGGTGAGTATATTATCATTATATATTTATATTGAATGAAGATAGGATATTATATTATATTGATGTTTGTTATTAACCTTGATATCACTTAATAAAAATGTTACACTTAACAAAATCGTCAAGTTTAGAACCTTTTTGAAGTTGGTTAAAATCACCTTTTATTAATTTGTAATACATAAAGTTATATGTAGACAAAAGCCGTAATACAAAGAGAATATATTTTGGTTTTTATTTAATTTTTATTGGCCTTTAGACAACAAGTGTAGTCTAAAGGAACTAGAAGTTTTATTTTACTTAATTTTGATTTATTTCCTTATATGTGTTATACCAACATATATAGTATATTACGCAACTTATATGCGTTATGATGGTTATAATATATGAGGCAGAATTTCAGAAATATCAACCATAAGACTTCGATGCACACTGTTTTACTTTTATTAAATCAGCGCGCTTGCTCAGTGATTGGGTGGTTGCTACTCACTACGAAACTTTATAAAAAAGAAATAGCAAAAATGCGGTTATGGAATATAACTCCACTATTTGCGTTTACAACGCACGCGTGTTTTATGAACTACTTTATAAAAAAACAAAATATATTTATTCAAGTAGGTGTATTATAGACTCTTATGATATGTCAAATCTACCGTCAGTTCGGAATGATTTCGAGGTGAAAAGAACTGACAATACGACCCCTTTACGAGCGTGTTGAAAAATACATTACAGACAGTTTGATTTGGTGTATTAATAAATATAAAAAATTTTAGGTGGTCGAGCAACTATGTATCCGATTGGTGGGAGGAGTATGTGTATCTTCGTGGTCGGTCGCCACTAATGGTCAATTCGAACTTCTACGGGATTGATGCAATTCTAATGAGACCTACCACAATACAGGCGGCGCGTGCCGGTGTCGTTATACACCTATGTCTCAAATTTAGAAGGCTCATTGATAGACAGGAGTTGGAACCGGTTAGTTGATAATCTTTTACACCCTTTACAGAACTAGCAAATACATAAAATATATATTTCTTTTTTTATATATAATAGTAATGATAATAATCATCTTTATTTTTAATCTACGACACTAATGAACGAGACAAAATTATTAACACATGTATATATTTTATATAGCTCCCCTTTTACGGGGCTAATACGTTCAAACACGCGGGCCTTAGCCAAGCGTGGATGAGTTTAAAATATATATGATAAAAGTGATGACGAAAGAAAATTTCTTACAATACGGCATGTGTTAAGGATGATGGCTTAAATAACAGTTCTATTTAAAGGGGATTTATTGTCATTATTATTTTTCTATATATATATATTATATTTTCCTTTTTCCGGGGCAACCTTTTTAAACACGCGGGCCTTAGCCAAGCTTGGATAAGTTTAAAAGTTATATACATATTGCGAGTTTGAGAATATTAATAATTTAAAGAAATATTCTTACAATTATTATTATTATTATAGTTGTTCTAAATATCGGCTGCATGTTGTTTGTCATAATGCCCTTGTCATTTGATGTCTGGCTTTTATCTTATTATTGTCGATGATTATCAGTATGTTTATACATATACAACTATGAAAAATGCATTGAAATAGTTTAAGCTGTAGCTGAGATTTATGTACGCAAACGTACAGACAATCTAACCTAAATGAATATTATTTAATAAAGATACAATAAAAATACTAATTAATGTTATTATGAACAGGAAATAACTTTAATAATCCTTATTCGTGTAGGTTTATTACACACTTATGATATGTCAATTCTACCATCAGTTCGGAATAATTTCGAGATGAGAAGAAACTGATAAGAAACTCAGCTCGTATTCTTTTCAAATAAATGTTATACTTAAATGTTATAATACAATCCTCATTGCCTTGCCTTTTGCCTTCTTCCACTGATCTCTATCGGCCTTCATATCTGAGCATACTCTCCTTTTATTCATATCATCTTTCACACAGTCCATCCATCTCTTTAGGGCGTCCTCTCCCTTTCCATCCATCCACGTTCATATTATACACTTTCCTCAAGACATGATCCTCGTTCCTCCGCAAAACATGTCCATACCAGCTCAATCTGTTACAACACATTTCGAAATGATTTCGAGATGAGAAGAACTGACAAGAAACTCAGCTCGTATTCTATTCAAATAAATGTTGTACATGTTTACAATTTAATAATAATTATAATACAACAAATATTTTATATGTATATTTATCAGTATATATGGAACTTGTTCTTAGGCTACATGTTGTTTGCCATAATGTTTTTACTATTTGTTGTCTGGCTATAATCTTATTATTATCGATGATAATCAGTATGTTTATACATATACAACAGACTAAGAATGTAATTATATTGTAATGCCTAATATTCTATATTTAAGGTGTGATAAGAAAGTGCTTTATTTATCCATATATTGATTGCGGTATTATAATTAATCAAAATCTAAGATTATAAGTATGTGCCCTCTAAAATGTTTTAATTTATCTTTAATAGATAATGCTCCAAGGTATGGTCCCGCTATGTTCTTGGCAATATGAGAGGTTGTTCAACACGGTACGTGTGCCTGGAATTGAAACGGATAAAATAGTACATTATCAGGACTCTTCACATATCACAGTTTATCACAAAGGAAGATATTTCAAGGTTTTGGTGTACTCTAGAGGACGATTACTGCAACCAGCCGAAATTCAAGTGTAAGTTATTGTGTCAATTGTAAAAAATAACTATTATTTATATGTATTTTAGCTAGTCAACAGTAAAATTATTGTTCATACTAGCTGCGTATAAATAATTGCGTGCTGCGTAATAATTTTACTGTTAATACACTAAGTCCGCGTGGAAATCAACTTTATTTTTCTAAAATTAAAGATTTTTTTTCTAAAATTAAAGTGGCCTAAGTTATTCCTCATTACATCAGCTACCCGCCAATAAAAGTCCCGTCAAAATCGGTCCAGCCATTTCAGAGATTACCTTCCGGGTAATCTAAAATAACAGATATAATTGTAAAAAATGTTATTTTGGTGAACCGTATTTATATTCATATGCAGTAGACAGTTATAGTCTGCCTGTAGAATAAATAAGCAAATAAACATTATCTTATTAACTACTCCGCATCTACAGACCTACCTACTGTAAGTGTAGATAAGATAAAACAATCGTATTACTATAGGACATATATTTTGTGACCGCGATGTTATGAGTTTGATATATATCTTATATATAAAATTCTCGTGTCATAATGTTTGTTATGATACTCCTCCGAAACGGTTTGACCGATTTTTATGAAATTTTATAGGCTACCTACTTAACATCAGTAGGTCTGAGAATCGGCTGCTATCTATTTTTCATACCTCTCAAGTGGTAAGAGATAGGTCATATATTTTGTGAGAGCGATGTTTTGAAATTGATATATATATATATATATATATATTCTTATATATAAAATTCTCGTGTCATAATGTTAGTTACGATACATTTCCGGAACCGCTTGACCGATTTTTATGAAATTTTATTGGCATTGTCAGTAGATCTGAGAAACGAATCTATTTTCATACACTTAAGTGATATATATATACATGTTATTTGTTGTAATATTATAGTATGGTATAGTCGTAACCAATACTTATGTTATATATTCTTTACGCCAAATGCATAGAAAACTGATATAAAATCTACCGATAACATATCGAACGCTACCGGATGCATGAAAAAGACCAAAACTCGTAATATTACTATCTAATGCGTGTGCTAGTGACCGATTCGATTCGGTTATCGATACTTGTCTAGCCTCTGAGGTTGGCTACGACGGACCACTATCGGCATTAGGTCGAGGACGATAAAATTTAATAAATAAGTTTATTTGCTGAGATGAATTATTAACTCGTCGGTTAATGTAATAGTAATAAATTAAATGCAGTAATTTCGTAAATCCACTTTCGAAAAACTCCTAAAAAAACATCAAAAAATATCTTTATTTAAGGTACATTTCATTAATACCACAATTTAACGAGTATTGAATCGTCAACTATTTTTTTATTAAGCTAGCATTTTTAGTTTCCGATATTTATTGGTCGTAAATCCACCTTCGAAAGACTCTCCTAAAAAACTAGAATAGTTTCATCAAAATCGGTAAAGTATTTTTTGCGCGAAAGAGTAACAAACAGCCATACTTACAAACTTTCGCATCGTGATTACATAGTATAAAATAAAGTCGCTGTCTGTCTCTCGTCGCTGTATGTATGCTTAAATCTTTAAAACTTCGCAACTGATTTTGAAGCAGTTTTTAAATAGTTACAGTGATTCTAGAGGAAGGTTTATACATATATATAATACATGTACACGAGACGAGTAGCTGGTTTATAATATTAATAAGATATAGTAACAGTGTGTTGTTATATTTATTGTAACAAAATAATCCAAAAGAAATTGTTACACAATTCCGTAATTGCAAATAAGCACCGGAAGCAGCACGCGTACATTGTTAGTCAAGTGCACGTATACACCACGAATGCTTATCCAATTGAGCCCCTAAGGTCGTTCGTAACGATGTCAAATTTACATACAATGTCAAAGTTATGCAACACATAATGCCACTACGCACTATACGGTGCAGTTTGTTGTTTTATGTTGCAAAATGCATTGTCGGCTGTGCTGAATTATATAATTTGATGATTGTTACACACAGTTGTTATATAAGATAGCACTTATTCGCGATAACGTTTAAGATAGCCTGTGACCGTCATAGTCTATAATATGATGGCCACGGTGGTCTAGCGGTTTAGCACACAGCCCTTCTCCCTATGGTCGCGGGTTCGATACCTCGTACGGCACAAACTTTTATAGAGTATGATTGTTTGTAACAGTCTGGGTGTTTTCTATGTATAATGTTTATGTGTTTACAAACAAATCTATTTATTTGTATCAGTTGTCTAGTACCCACAACATAAACTTTAGCTTGCTTAACTTGAGTCTGGATAGAGCTGTGTAAATTGTTCTGAAATTATTTTTACTGTTATTTTGTTTAACACTATGTTTGTAAATAGCCTCGGTATTCCGAAAATAAATATTATAAATATATATACCGTACCATATGGTCCAATGAATACATGATAATAAACCTCAAATAAGCTTTAGAAAAAAAAAACTAAATAAGTCGTTGTACGGGCCTAGGGGGCTTGTACCCGTGACATCCTATCTGATTAATTTTATTTATTTAATACACAAATACAAAAATAAAGGTGCATTAACTTAAGGTAATGATGTAATAAAATAAAATTTCCTTCCGCAGACAAATCCAACAAATTCTGGATGACGATTCACCACCTGTCATCGGAGAAGAAAAGCTAGCAGCGCTGACAGCCGGCGAGCGCACCCACTGGGCTCGCATCAGACAGACCATGTTCAATAGAGGCCACAACAGGACCTCTCTACATTGTATAGAACGTGCAGCATTTAACGTATGCCTAGGTATGTTAAACACTACCTGTGCCTGCGACTTCGTTCGCGTGTTTATCAAAAACACTGCATTCAAGAAGGGTATATTAAGGTTTCTTAATGGTCGGTAACGTGTATCACCCCTGGTGTTTCAGGCATCGATAGGCTACGGTAATCGTTTACCATCAGATGGGCCATATACTTGTTTGCCACCTACATGGTATAAAAAAAACATATTTTTTGGGTAACTTGAACCGTTTACGCAGGGCACGCAATGGAAGCCCTCAAATATGAAGAATTTTCCTTGTTTTTGCAACATTTTTCACTGATGCTTCGCCTCTATTGGTCGTAGCGTAATGTTATATAGCTTAAAGTCTTCCTCTACAAATGGACTATCCAACACATTAATATTTTTTCAATTCGAACAAGCGTTCAAACAAACGAACAATCTCCTCAGCTTTATAATAATAATAATATAACGATATGCAAACAAAAAGGCGGTCTTATCGCTTACAGCAATCTCAGGCAACCTAGATATATGTTAAACATAATAAATATTATTACATATCTAGTTAATAGGATTATTACATAATTCATCATAATTTCCACGAAATTGAAAGAACTTTCAATTTCCAATGCATCTGAAATCTGGAATTTAATACAATTTATGGAGAATGACCTGAACGTATTCATTGAGTGATTTAATTTTCATTTTTAAATAACAAGTCAATTTAAATTTCAATATTCTTCACTAGGCATAATCTTTTGATTTTCATATTTAAACAACAAGAAGGATTTCAACCTTCTTCACTAGGTATAATCTTTTTATTCAGCCATTTAAGTCAATCTTCTTCATCAGAATTCAGACATAATCTATTGAGATATTTTTTTTTTATTTCTGCTATTTAAGTTTACGCAAACAACATATGTTGTTTAATTGACGCAGTAGATCTATTAACATATCAAAGTACTGCAAAAGGTTAAAATGATATTTGGGATTCACTACAACAAAGATTGATTCGTACTTACTTTATAACACACTAGCTGCACCTCGCTACTTCGTCTGTATCACACTTACTTGACATTTATGATTATATTTCGCCCTATTCACATATTATCTTTTTAAATTATTATCTATACATCTAAACATATAAATAAAATTGGAGTGTCTGTTTGTAATATTGAAATAACCGTTTTTTGCTACATGCATACGAATATAAATATAGATACACAAAAATAACATTTTTTTTTTTATTTTATGTCTGTCTGTTTGTTCCGGTTAATCTCTGAAATGGCTGGACCTATTTTGACGGGACTTTTTTTAGAAGGTAGCTGATGTAAAGAAAAATAAATTTAAATTCCACGCGCACGAAGTTGCGGGAACAGCTAGTCATATATATATAATATCATAGCCTATATGTTATTCTGATGTATACGGTATATTAGTGTAAAGTAATTTAAAATCTTAACACTAATTTGTGTTAAGACCAGGTTAATAATTTAAATAATGTATATTAAACACGAAAGTTTAAAAATAACTATTGCAAACCACTACGGGCCGGAGATTGCATATAATATTTCTGTAAAGTTTCATCAAATTGGTTCAGTAGTTTTTGTGTGAAAGAGTAACAAACATTCGCGTTTATAATATTAGTACGATAATTAGTATTTCCTAAATTGCATTCACTTCGGCATCCGTAATGAATGTTAAATTTTTGCATCAAATTATAATTTCAGTCTAATTAATGGTTTTACGCAAAGTGTAATCTGGCATTTCGTAAATAAAAACCAATTAAATCGTAGCTACGATAATGATAGAGTATTAATGTTAGATGTAATTGCATGTAGTTATACAGTACATAATTTGTATTAGTCTGCTATTTTAATATCTCATTATATCTATAAAATTATATATAGATATAATGTATACATATAAATAATCTATCTAAATTTGATATCTACACAATGTATAATGTGTATAAATGTCAAGAATGATGCAGACAAGTTGCGGATACAGCTAGTATGGTATACGAGTAATTACCTTTTCAGAAAATTATAAAACTACCTATATTGATCCGTTATATAATGCAACAATATACCTAGATCAGAAGTACCTTTGTATCATCTATACATATAAATAAAATTGGAGTATTTCTTTGCAATATTGAAATAACCGTTTTTTACTACATGCATATGAATATAAATATGGTACATACACCAAAATAACAATTTTAGTCTATCTGTCTGTTTGTTCCGGCTAATCTTGAAATGTCTGTACCTATTTTGACGGAACCTTTTTTGGCAAGTAGTGTCTTTTATTTTAGTAAAATTATTTTTAGAAAAATAAAGTTAAATTCCACGCGGACGAAGTCGCATGTACACATAATTAGAGAATATAATTAATTTATCTATCTATCAGACGACATGTCTCGACCCTGACCCATACTGCTTAAGTAGGGAAAACAGAGCGACAACGACGCCTAGATCCATACGACATTTTATTATTCGTATGTTGCAGGCACGTTGCTTCCTAGTATTTAGTGGCGTACAACACAACTTTTTTATGAAATAGAAACAAAGAGAAATAATCTTTATTCAAATAAACTTAATATAAGCACTTTTGAATAGTCAAATGTTTTTATTCTACCGCTCATTCGGAATGCATACTCGTCACAAGACGAATGAACAAGAAACTTGTGTGTTGCTCTTTTAAATAAATATTGATTTAATGATATTTACATTAACAAGGATTAGGCATGAGACAATCAACATAGAAACCGCTACGCACTTAATCTCTGTTCAATCAGATAACATTGTCAGCGCTATCATATATGTAGTAAGAATAGATTCTTCCTTTTTTATATAGTACTAGCTACGATTGTGTGTATCGGTCTTGGTGTTTTATATGTATATTTTATGCAATAAAAATATTGGTATGGTTTACCTGCCATCGCACGGTTTACACTTGCGTGGCACCCGAGGAGGATGATAGGATGAGCATGAGGTTATGTCTGGTAGCCCATCGTGTAAATTCAGCAGGAATTTATCACGATGGTTTCCAAGGGGAATCATGTGGAGGTCAACCTCACATGGTACATTGCTCGGTGGGGGGGTGGGGTTACAATGGGGTCGTCAGTCCACATTATTTACAATTCTTCCTCTTTATATGATGTATATTATATATGTATTTACAAATAAAAAGTATCGTGGTATAAATATGTAATGTGTGGGAATGAGGATAATATTTTAAGGAAGGTGTTACATATGAATGTGGATGGTTGTAAGGGCAGAGGAAGGCCGAGAAAGAGAAGGATGGACTCTGTGAAAGATGATGATAAGAAAGGAAGTAAATAACGCGATGACTGCGAACAGGGATGAATGGAAGATAAAAACATATTACACCGACCCCAAATAAATGGATAATGAAGAAGCAGATGATGACTAGATGGCACTCTAGGAGCTGTTCTGAAATATTAATATTAGTGCCAGAGAGAATATTTTAAAGATGTCGTAAAAACTATACAAGCAAATATCATCAGTTACATCTGTCATATTGTTTCCCATTCAGAATACGTAAATAAATTAAAAATAAAAGAGTTTTTTTTTACAGATGACCAAGACTATGGTTACAACGAGGGTGATCCGTCCTCTTTGGACCGGTATGGGCACGTGTTACTGCACGGCAAAGGTCACGATCGTTGGTTCGACAAATCATTCAATTTATGCTTCAGCAAAAGTGGCTTCGTAAGTATATTGCATATTATAAGTGTTATTTTTAAAAGATTCTTTTATCCACAATCACATTTTTAAATCAAAGTCAGATTAAAATTATTAATTATTATATATATAAACATATAAAATATGAGTAAGCCTTTAGTAAACACATTATGAAAGTCGATGCGACTTAGTATTTCTCTTTGTAATGTAAAATACAATGTTTTATATTTTTTCAGGTCGGATTCAACTCGGAACATACATGGTAAGGACACATTTTATCGTAACTAATATAGTTATTAACTTAGATGTTTGAAGTACATTTCCAAGTAGCACTTATGGTGTTACGATATAATTATATTTCAACATTTAAATTTAATATTTTTTTTGTAGCATTTAAGTATTTATAGGCCGTCTAGGCTAAACGGACAAATTCGTTCTGTATGTATAACATCTCTATATAATCACGCATGTGAATTACACATCTTGAATATAAATTACAAATCGTTATACTTATTTTGTAATTGCTTATTGATAGTAGACTTAAATATAGATTTTTCTGACATACTCTATGTAGTAAGGGCGTAAAAATACATCATAACAACACTTAATGAACCGAAGAAAGTAAATATGTAGTATAAGATTAACAAAGACCCGTTTTAAGATATTGACACACTAGGCGTATAACAGCAGAGTGGCGTTATTTATTATATATATTCTTGGTTTTATATCTTCATATTTAGTACAGTAGTATGGGAGTAAGAATACGACGTATCAACACTAAATCCAGAGGCGACTATGAATCGAAGAAATTAAATATGTCAGAATAAAAGAAGGTATATTAACATTATGACAGCAGAGGGACATTACTTTTTAGTTATTATTAGTGTATTTATGATACCGAGTCATTCTTTGTTTTATATTTTACTAGCTTCGAACGAGTGTACATGTATTATACATACAACCTTCCTCTTGAATCACTCTATCTATAAAAAGAAACCGCATCAAAATCCGTTGCATAGTTATAACGATTTAAGTATACATAGGGACGGACACAGCGCCAGCGACTTTGTTTTATACCACTACATAGTAATGTAATGATAATATTTAGTACAGTTAAATAACAATGTTCTGTGGTACTTGTTACAGGGCAGATGCACCGGTGATGGGCCACTTGTGGGAGTACGTCATTTGGTCGGAGCTGGAAATTGCGTACGTACCTTGTTTACATTTATCATCGTCCTCCACTTAGTCAAAACAATAATTATCACTCATATTGTAACTTTATTGGTTTGTAACTATACTTTTTTATCTGTTCATGAGTGATAAGTTATTATTTATGTTTTAAATTAACCCTAAAACTTCCGTAACGTCTTGTAGTGTTCTTATATCATTTTTAACTAATTAAGACATGCATGTGTTAATGCGTGATATTATAATTATTACTATCTATTGTAGTTTGATCTTAACGTCAATAGCAAAGAGTAGTCAGTACATAAAGCAGTTATTAAACTTTGAAAGTCTACATGATATTTTTTACATCCAGCATACATTTTTTTGATGAGAGATCGTGATTATCTGGTAGGTAAACAGTTGAATAATTATTACATTACGCTGTGCCCGCGACCTTGTTCGCGTGGAATAGTGATCTTGGATAGCATAAAATATTTAATAATGTAACCCAAAAAACCAAAAATAAGTTCATCGTTCTAACTTCAAAAATTATGAGTTTACCATGCAAACCTTCATACACTATATGATTTTACTATTTTTTTTTAAAGGTAAAGTATTACAAACTTTGATTATGATACTTATTTATATTTAATCAACAGTCTAAAAAATAACTTTCAAGCAGCTACAAAAATGACGATACCTCCATATGGTTGTATGAAATTTATCTACTACTTACAACACCTTTATCGCATTCAAAATTAGTCTATGTCCTTTCTACATAAGTGTCGACTATCTTGTACCAAATTTCATTTAAATTGGTTTAGTAGTTTTGGTTTGAAAGCTCGACGGACCGAGTTACTTTCGCATTTATAATATTATAAGTAAGGATTATTGGTATTACTAGCATCGTTCACATAGTACTAATATATCAAGCAATTAAGGTAGGGGAACATTCACTATAAGTATTATTTATATTAGTAGGGTATATTAGGGGAACGTTCACTCATAAATTTTCTAACATTTATTAGGTATAAACCGGATGGCAACACTATTGGGATAGTAGAAACGCCGCCACCGATCCCCACACGTCTGCAATGGGACCTCGCCAACGAAGAACTGCTGAAAGGCATCGATGTATCATACGACGTGGCACAAAAGTTACTCAACGATATCGAACTAAAAATACTTATGTACACAAAGTATGGAAAAGGTACAAAAAATTACATATTATATTTTATTAATCTATATATGTATATACGTGTCGTCTTCAGCACATCCAAAACAAGGCATTAAAAACCATAGCCAGAGCTCCTTGGTTCATAATAAACATTGAAGTACATTCATATCTAGAAATGCCAACTGTAAAAGAAGAGATACAGAAAGCCTGTGGAAGATATAAACACAGATTAGCCGGCCATAAGAACCAGTTAGCTTCAAAACTACTGGATACAAATGACTGTCCATCTAGATTAAAAAGGGCTCGCCTTGCCAACATCTAAAGAAAGTAAATGAAATGGCACCTTACTGGAGGTGTCTCATCTCCAAATGCCCATAACATCAAAAAAATCGGATTATAGCCGGAACGGCTGATCGCAGATAGAAAAAAAAATTATATATATATACATACTAGCAGATCCGGCCACGCGTTTATGTGGCTAACATACGCAAAACATTTGCAAATTATGTTTATATATATGTATTTCTCTCAAAAAGAGAACTTGTGAATACTTGTTCTGTAGCAACTCTTGTATTAATATAATAATGTTTATAGGTTTCATGAAGAGTTGTCGCGTGTCACCAGACGCGTATATCCAACTGATCTTACAACTGTCGTACTACCGAGATGCTGGCCGGTTCTGTCTTACATATGAAGCTTCTATGACGAGAATGTTCCGCGAAGGTCGCACGGAGACGGTCAGGCCTTGCACCATTGAGAGCTCCGCATGGGTAAAGGCCATGGTGGATCCGAATGCATCGGTAATATATTTTATACTTTAACTAGCTACTCCTCTTGAATATATATTTAAAATAACCGCTTCAAAATCCGTTGCGTTAAGTTTTAAAGACTTAAGCATACATAGGGACGGACAGACAGCGACAATGACTTTGTTTTATACTATGTAATGACTTAGTATGAAAATTTGTTTGGGGTCCTAACGAAGGGTAAAGATTTCACTCAAAAGAAAGATAATTCATAAAATTTAAAGAAATATTTATTCATCATAATTATCTGTCACTTTTTCCACTTTTTTTTACAAAGAATTTGAATTAAATATATACTCCTTGCCATATATAGCTGATGTGGGAAAAAATAAATTACTTTTGTTTCCTTTTGTCATTTCTGAAATAAAAAAAAATGGGAAGTTAATTTTTTTAATTTGTTTTTTACCAGGCCAAAAATAAAGATACTTGATGTTATTATCTTGTGTTTTGTTGCGTTTTTTGTTACTTCAACGAATTAAGATTAGTTTTATATCTTTTATCGCAGGAAATTTTCCGTTTCTTTAACTCTATAGGTGCTTTTCGTTTGTATCACGATAAATTTTTTTAACTTCACACCATGTCATATTATATGTATATATAAAGGATTTTTTATGGATGATAATGGAATAGTGCTTCCGTCTGCGCACCGGTTTACGCTGGCGGGGCACCAGTGGGGCATCATAAGATGAGCATGAGATTTATCACGATGGTTTTTAGGGGAACCGCATGGAGGTCAAGCTGACATGGTACATTGCTAGCAATGGGGCATCAACATTACTAACAATCCGCTTTCCTCCAAGTCCATGGAGTATGGAGTATAATGACGTACATGAATGTTTGTTAACGTAAAATACCTACTATACAACTAGGGGGTATGAAGTGATGATTGTGGGATTACAATATGCTATCTGTTGATTTTGTAATGTCATATATTTAAAACGATTAGATTGTAAATTTTTATCCTCAGTGATTTTCTAAAAGATAGATGTATGCAATAAATTACGATTATTATCGATATTAATAAATCGGACTGTTATCAATAGTAGTCGGTAAACATTATAACAAAATAAGCCGGCTTAGTGATTTTAGTCATAGCAGATAAATGTGCATAAATATCAGCTGTTTAGCACCAATAGTGAAAGTAGTTTAGTTTTGAACTAGATGGCGCTGTGTAATATATCCAGAGCTCTTTATTTTTTTAATGATTGAAAATGATGATATACCTGGTCAACTTACACAACACCACCTATGCCAAGATAAGCAAGGCTTTTTGATATGGGTACGAGAGAACTGTTAGAAATACATAGTTTTATTATAATACATACAAAACACCCAGATCGATACAAATAATCAGTATGATTGAAAGATCAATCATGAAAGAAACAAATGTTTCTACCGTCAAGGAATCGACCCCGCGTTCATCGGAAGTAAACCGCTAGACCACCGAGGTCGTCGTACGTTTGTATTCCATCACAGTGGAATACTTTAGTATTCTTGTACTCCAAGACTACTGATATACAGGTTTAGTTATAAAAATCCCGACTTTAACGACTTCTATTTTACACATCCTTAGTGTCTTAATTGTTCCTTGTTTGTAACTTACTTATATTTAATATTCTTCACTTAAGATCGAGAAGAAGGTGGATCTATTCCGAAAAGCATGCCAACGGCACCAGCTCGGCTACCAAGATGCGATGGCTGGACGAGGCATCGACCGTCATTTGTTCTGCCTCTATGTCGTCTCCAAGTACCTCGAACTTGACTCCCCCTTCCTGCAAGAGGTGTTCAACGAACCCTGGCGGCTGTCGACCAGTCAAACACCACACGGTAATTAAAATGTTATGGGCCCAGTGTGAAGCTTTACTAATATTATGAATATATAAATGTGATTTATTTGTTAGCTTATTACATTTTTGTGTCTTAAGACACAGTTTATTGTCAGGAAATTTAGTGTGAAAAAGTATATGAGCTATTTTATACCAATATATTATTATTTTTATAAAATTTGATAAATTTTCTCTGAAGTAAGACTAATAGTAAAAATTTACTGAAACTGCATGGTTCTTAGAGGATGTATGTAACCAAAACCTAACCCATTTTCTAAAAACTTTGTTAGAATGAGAGGCAAGCAATTGCTTGTCACATAACATGTAACAATTAGGCTCCGTCCCTATCCGATATTATTCGATACTTTTATTTCTGATTCGGTTTCGGTTACGAATATTTTTTTATAACGGATATCCGATAGTTTCGGTTACGCTTACGGAGCTCCCTAACGTCCCTGTAAAACGCGCAAGCGCGAGATGCCGCGCCTTTGCACTAAGACGGTTATATTACTTTTGCCTTTTCTTACTTTTATTATTTGCACTTCTGAATGAAAGGAAACAATTAAATTTGATTATTAATATAAAGATGCACCAAAGTAAAAACATTGTGTAAATATATCGAACGATAAAAATCTCAGTCTGCTTATTAAGTAATATATTTTGTGTTTTTAAGTGAAAGTAACGTATTTTTTATATGTTCATTTAAGGCCAAACAAGCATGTTGGATCTGAAGAAATCCCCGAATTGTGTAAGCGCTGGTGGCGGCTTCGGTCCGGTCGCCGACGACGGCTACGGCGTCTCCTACATCATCGCCCGTGAAGATACCATCTTCTTCCACGTCTCTAGCAAGAAGAGTTGTTCTATAACGGTAAACTAAATGTATACATAAAAATAAAATTGGAGTGACTGTTTGTAATATTGAAATAACCGTTTTTTACCAAATGCCTATGAATATAAATACGGTACTTACACCAATATAACATTTTTTTCAATTGTTGTCTGTCTGTTTGTTCTCTGAAATGGCTGGACCGATTTTGGCGGGACTTTTATTGGCAGGTAGCTGATGTAATAAGGAGTAACTTAGGCTACTTTTATTTTAGAAAAATAAAGTTAAGGCAGGCGAAGTCGCGGGTACAGCTATTTATAATATAATTATAACATATTGGTAACCTAGCAGTTTCGCACACCGCTTTACACGCAGGTTCGATTCCTCGTACGTTACAAACATTTCTATACATAAGTATGATTGTTTGAATTAGTCTGGGTGTTATCTGTGTATAATATGTATTTGCAAAAAAAAAGTTTCTATGATTTAATATATCATATGAATATCAATTACCTAGTAGTCTAGTATGTTGTTGGGATTAGAGTGTGCTGTGTGAATTCTCCTGAGATATTATCATAATTATTATTATCTAATGATTATTATAATTTATATTCATATTCATAAATATTCTTACATTTTCAGAGTTCTTCAAACTTCGTGCAACAAATCGAGAATTCAATGAGAGACGTCCAAGAATTGTTTCTCGAGTACAATAAACTCAAAAATGGTGTTAAATCTTAATATTGTTTTTAGATTAATATAATTATATTGTTGTTGTTGTATTGTAAACTACTGTATGTAGTTTATAAAATATTCTTATTCTAGAGTTTGTAGACATAATTAACATTGTAAGTGAAAACTCAGTATATCTGTTACAATTGCTATTAATATATTTTATACATATCATGTTAAAATTTATTATAAATACATGATTCGTTCATTATATTTGTAAATTTAGAAAACAGGGATTAGTTACTGTTAACGAAAATAACAACTAACTTGGACTCTTAACTTTTGTAGCTCTGAATAGAATAGCAACGGAAAAAAAGTTATCGGGATGTATAATTCCGTCGTACGTCATATGAAATATTGTATATGTTTTGTATGATACAGCTAGAGAAATTCATTTATTTTGTTCTAAAATATATCATTTCCGCTTGCATATTTGTAGACTTTAATCAAATGACATAAATAATATAAATATACAACGCCATGTATTAATAATATTAAATGAATTGACAATAGTAGTTGGAGTGTTTAAAATGAAAGAGATAAACGAATATACCTTTAAGCTATTTCTCTAAAATTCTTTCAACCTATAGTATAAATATCACTTATAAAATCAATTTGCTATTTACTAAGTTTATACATTTCCTGACTATATGAAATATATTGTTATTGTAAAAAAAAGTTATATCACTTTAATAATAGGTCAATTATTCTATATTAAATTGTTCAGTGTATAAATATTATATTATGGGAAACAGAAGAGAATGAAATAAATATATTTTTATACCTAAGCTTAAAAATGTTTCAACTGATAACATATTTTTGTGTGCTTCCAATATATGAAAACCTTATAAATAATAGGCATATACAATTTTATTTATACATCTAATTTGACTATAGCGGAACCTAGCATGCAGTAAATTATTGTTTTATTTATTTATGAATACAGGTGTTGTTTTATTTATATTATCTTGTATTTTATTAACAGATTACTATATTAAGGGTAATGCAGGTGTTTCTAATAAGTACATGTTATCAAGCGAACATATTTAATTTTGAATGACGTTTTAGTAATATAGTTGTAAGTATATGTATATTGAAATGGGTGTTTATAATTCTCGAATACATATTTGTGCATTAAAGGCATATCTGTAGAAATTGAACTTCTCTCTTGTGGTCCAGATGCAAAAATTCTATTATCAACTCTTTCATCTTTAATAACTAAATGTATAATGTTTCACTGTACAATGTACCATATACAGTACAAACATAAATATTATGTGGTTTTAAACACTGTACTCAAGTTTTATATTAAATTAACATATCAATGGTGTGCTAGAAAACAAATAACTTGCATATGAACAATGCTGGAAGTTACTGCACATTCATTTGTCTTTAACGAACATCACAAATAACATCTTCTGTTTGAAATGAAATAATGAAGTCATTCCCTTGTACAACTTTATTATTCTTTCATTCTTCAGCACCTATGCTATTTACACTCATATTCTGACACTTTTTACATACTAGCATAATATTAATTTACTTTGACTTTGTATCATTTTAAATAACAAATAACAAAGCTATTTGCATGTGTAAGTGGCATAATGAATTGTATTTGACAGCCTCATTTTATAATAAATCAATTATAATTATATATATATTATATTTATGTACTTTAAAAATGTATCATATTGCATATATATATAGCATGTAACTATTGTTTAAACAAAAACATGATATCGAAGATTTATTCGTAACATATATGTAAATATTATTATAATGTAAATTTGCTACAATGTAATAATTTATTATTAATATACATATTATTTCCAATACAATCACTATTACTATTAATTTTATTGTAAATAAAATAAAATTTTAATATTTTGTCTTTAGACGCATTTTAATCCTGTTATCAAATAGTTCCAAGTACTGTGGACAATATAACACGCAATATTGTTAAGACGTGACCTACACGCTAACCTAATTATGTAGATCGTTGGAACTACGTGGGGTTTAATTTATATAAGTACACCAACAATATAAATCTAAGTATACAATTATATTTATTTTAAATCAATACTCTGGAAACAATTCTGTCCATTATCATTAGGTAGACATAATTTATTTTGTGTAGGTGGTTGATATTGGATAACCTTTGAGCTTAATTTTAAAAATAAACTTATTTATGTTAATCACTCTTCATACATTCAACTATTTTATCCTTGTTATTAAATTATCATATATATTGAAATCGAGAACTCAATTAAAATAAATAATACGTACGAATATCTCGCGTTTTTTCCAAATTAAATCATTTTAAGGCACAACAAGGATAAAACAGTAATTAAGTTGAGGGGCCAAAAATGTGATTCATTATTCATTACAGTGTTACCTTGACAAGAACCCTCTATTTATATTAACGCAATAATATTTTCCGAATTTTGTTTTTATTATACAACTTACATTTTTTATAAATTAATATTGTAAATAAATGAATTATTAAAAATGACTCACGTTATTTAATCATCTTTCCACAGTAAACTACGAAATTACGCCCTGGTTTAATGGATATAATCACCATATATTTTTCTAATAATAAAATGTAATGCAAATGCAGGTATATATGCAGGTCCTCTAAATTCCCTAAACTCCCTAAAGCAGTTGTAACGAAACGTTCTGTTCAACGTACGAGTATAGTTACATGATAGTTTGTTTTTTTAAGAAACGCCTAAATCTATGTGGTGAAGAATCTAGACTTAAAAATCGTATACGTGTATGCCTCAATATCACTTTTTTCATCCCCCAAGCAGCTTGCTTTGTAAGATGTGAAGTGAAATATAGATCAGCAATATTTACTGATTAATAGGCATGCAATTTATATGACAGTATTCGTTTTAGTCAAATATTCTTGGACAGTGTAAAAATTACAAAGTGACAGACAATTTTTTAGTTTGCGTTTAAACGATATATTAGATCTCAGTTCTCGTAGTAGAATGAGGTGATGAGAGTACAGAATATGGAGACGTAACATCTTAGTCGTGGTACATGATAACGCCATTCCCATGGTGCTCACGTATATAGGCGAAAGTTATGGTTAGCTGTCAGCTACTTACTATACTTATCACTTATATAAGCAATCACGCATTAACATCTTGTTAAATTTTTATGAAAATTGAGATGGAGTATGTAATTTATATTATATTATATATAGGTGAGAAGTTTAATTTGGTAATATGCTACTACCGAGATGAAAGAGTAAAAAAAAGAAAAAAAAAAAAAGAAAGGTCAAGATCGCGGGAAGGCATTGGATGCGAGCAGCGCAGGACCGATCGTCGTGGAGATCTTTGGGGGAGGCCTATGTCCAGCAGTGGACGTCTTTCGGGCTGCGATGATGATGATGATGATGAGATGAAAGAGTTCCATTGGATTTTTTGATATTACTGTTAATTTATTTAATTATGTATGGTTCGATCCTCTGATGATTATAAATCATATTTAGAAAAAGAAGTCGTGAAACAGTTAGGGAGTGGGAATTCTTAACAATGGGGACTAGTGAGCCTCTTGCTAATAATGGTCAATGCCAGGTTAACCTCCACGCGTTCACGTGGAGGTTCATGGTTAATTCTAAGCGAATTAGGTATGATTGGCTATCTGGCTGACCTGACCTCATTCTATTATCCAATCGCTAGCATAAACGTAGACACCATATAATCTATTAAAAATCGTGAGAGAATATTATAATTTCACCATGAGGTGCTAATTAGAATTACAGCGGGACATATCGTTACTTTTGCTTGCGACGTTACTGATAACAGGGTTTTGCTTCACGTACTCAAATATTTTTTATAGGTATACAAGATTTTTAAAATACATAATTACCCTAATAATTATAACCCTATTATTTGTTTGATATCGACTTAATTACTTATATTATTAAATATAAATCCATCGAGTAGTTAATTACTGTTTTTAGACAACGACCAACAGTTATTTTACATGATATGGTACTAGATGTCGATGGTATCTAAAGTAACGAGTAACACAATCACAGGACTACTGTACCGATTTAACGAATACTAGTTGCAACGATTGTACTTTTATAGCTAAATATATATTTTAAAATATATGTAATTTAAAGATTTAATATAAATACTATTCATATTAAACATATAGAGCAAATAAATTATACGTGTCTAAAACATAAAACCATTCAAAAACTTATACATACATTCCATTTGATTTCAGAACTAAAAGTTCTATTATACCTACTTTATGTATATGGAATTGTTGAATGTTGATATTTCTGAGCAGTGGTCTGTTATGTTGATTGTCATTACATCCAGTCCAGGTCCAGGCACAAAATATTAGTGTCGTTTATTGAGGTGTAAATTTATTGAAACGTGATTTAATATTTATACTTGTTATTAATTAGATAATGCATGATGATGATAATGTATCACGTACTAAGGACAGTACTATATAAAGTTTGGGTCGTTTCTACTCTTACTTTATTCTCCAGTGTTGTAGTTTTTTGGTTTTATGGATTTTTCACAGCACTTTTCGTCTTCTCCATTGGCATGACTGGTGAGTCAAAATTACATTATTTCAGTATTTTTTAATAAATACCGTAGATTGTATAAATTTAAATTTGAAATGTTCGTGGATGAAATATTTAGGGACATATATAATTATGTAAGTATTTTTATAATGTTATTTGATTATCGTTAATATAATATGAATAAAATTAACATATCAGACACAAGCAAGAAGCACGGAAATAAGTGAAATATTCATTATCCATTAAATTTAATAAGTACTATGAACCACATCAATATCAGGCACATTCAAAGCAATGACTAAATATGACCAAATTATAACCAGATTCTTGGTTGTAGCAGATGATGCCGTAATAAGTTTACAGGTCAGTTGCTGTAGTAAATTTTAGAGAAATAAAACACAGGGCACTCAAATAAGAGTAGAGCCAAAATTTACATTCTACTGTTATCTTTGTATTCAGGTTATATTGACAGACATGATAAAAACACAAAAACAACTCTTATAAATAAGATGGGTCTACATATAGTGATAATTTACACAGTTAATGTACCGACACACTCGGAGAAATCAAGTTGGAATACTTTTGTTTAGTTAATAAAAAACTATGTGTGTGTATTAAGCAGAGAATTAAAGTGACTACTATAGGCAATGTCTATACTCTATATTTATTTATTAGAAAACCAACAGCTTATAATTCAATACATTAATCAATACATATTTCCAATAACAGGTTTAGCTTATGTTAGGGTTCATATTGATATTGTAGAAAAGTCTGATATTTTAAAAATATTAAAAGAAGGTAGTTTCATTATTACTCAGTATTGTTAAACTAGTTGCGTATAACCTTCACTCATATCTTCTCTGTATAAAAGGGAGGGTTTTTGTAAACCACAGCATTCAGTCTTTGAGCACAGGATGTGCTGGTTGTATTTTAAATGCTAAAGTGAATTGTGTTAGAGACATAGTTAAATTAATGCTATATAGTTGCTATTTCATTATAGTACATACTTTTACTAGTACATAGAGTTGATATATCTTAAACTTAGCAAAAGTAAAAAAACAAAATTTTGCAAACAGAATAAAGATTATAGATAATTATTGATATTGTTAGATATGTATTATTTAATTCTATTTATTTTAACACAACACAACACAATGGAAATGGTTTATAAATAAATTGAATGGTCATGACATTGAGTGATCACTAGGATTCCAGGCTCTATTCATTGCTTTATGATGCATCATTTAGAAGCTTGACACATGTTGCATTATGGTACTCAACAATAATGGAGATTGATCCTTAATAGGGAAGGTCAAGATTCTTCTAGTAGTGGTGGTTAGACCTTTACAGTTAATATTTCTAGGAAAATTCCAATGGAAGCAGCATGTAACAAATTAACACTAATTGTAATGGGCACCCACAATATAATACCTGTTATGGAGTAGATTGAAACTAGTTACTAAATTATCACTTGCTCTGAGTACTAAAATCATCTTGGTTGACACTTTATTCCGAACTACATTTTATAAGAGACCTACAGCAACAAAGATGATTTGGTTGGCTTTGATTTTAATATAAATTAATATAATGTAAAAGTAAAACATGCATCCTACAAGATAATTGTATATATTTAATTGAATTAGGTGTTATATCACAGAAGTATGTCTATTTAATTATAATAATTTATTAATGTTTAAATAACTGGTACAAAAGTAAGGAATTAAACAAAATAATATAAATCCATTAAGAAGAGAATTGTAGATAAATTAATTGATTTTTGTAAAATGTGTATAATTTTTTTTTATTTTATTTTAGGCATTATGTATAGTGCCCAGGATTTGTTATTATATTACCCGAATGATCCACCAGACTCCAGAGGATTTGTTTTACAACCAAGTAATTTCAAGTTACCCTACGAAAGCATTAAAGTAGTCAATAGGGATGGCTTTAAAATACATATGTTTCTTATTAAACAAGGGAACAATAGTGAACTTAAACCCACCATGATATTTTTCCATGGTAACGCAGGAAACATGGGCCAAAGGTACATGTTTCATATATTATTTATATAAAAAACATATATTAGACTTTGTGATATAATAAAAAAACATGACTATACAAAATTATTAAGTTTAAGTGTACTTCTCATATTAAGTGAAATGCGAAAGAAATATAAATAATCTTTATTCAAGTAAAAATAAAAATTATTTCTATTTCTTTCACATTTTATTTAAAATTAGTTGGAAATATGAGAAATTCTCGACATTATAATTGTGTTACTCAACTTACTAAGAAGATATGATAACACAAGATTGGGATCAAAATAATTTTCTAAATTTAGTCTGATCTATTGTTATCTTATTGTAAGTGTAATATAAATGTAATTGTTGTATGCCACTCATATAATAATATCTTAGTGATGTAACAATTACATTTAGATATATGTTTATCAAGAATATTTTTTGCAGGTTAACTAATGTATCTGGATTTTATCATAAGTTAGATATCAATATTCTTATGGTTGAATATAGAGGATATGGACTCTCAGAGGGCACACCTTCTGAATATGGACTGTATTGCGATGCTCAGGCTGCATTTGATTATCTGATAGAAAGGACTGATATTGATCCAACAAAAATAATGTTGTTTGGGAGATCTCTTGGTGAGTTAATTATTGCATTGTTATTATTAAGTAGTATTAAATTATTTGTGTATATATAATGTATTCAATTATGATTAGGATAGTAGATAGGAAGTTAGTACTAATAAATTAAGTTTTTTTAAGGTAATAACAGGAATATAATCATGAATTTGTCAGAAATTATAAATGGTGTTGTACCTACTTGATTTGTTGACTGTGACATAACTATAAGTATATTATTAAATAATACATAAATAAATAAAGTTATATCTATAATAGCAGTAGGAGATTACTGGGATAGTAATATTATGTTATAGTTGAGACTATGTATATTACATTTGCCGAAGGCAACTGTTTTGATATTTACCTCATCTAGGAATGTGTCTTATTTTAAACCAGTCTGAAATACAGTACTTCTGTCACATTACAGATGATAGTGAATTGAGAAAATGTACAAAATATATCTTATATGCTAAATAACAATAGTAAAATGTAAAGTAAGGTGACACAGTTTAGACAGGGCAGTGCTTAGTAGACAATATTTAGTTTGTCTTACTAGACATAATAAATTGCAAATATTACATTGATGTAACTGTGTATCTGTAATTGTATTCCATATACTAATGGAAATTTGTACTTGAATGCTCTTGCACCATGATAGGTTGATCTCCACTACTTCTACCCGTATACCATCATGATTAAGTCCTGGTGAATTCACTGTGGTAAACTGACCTGACTTCATCCTTATATATTATCACTAGTTATACGCCCCGGCTTTGCAAGGGTGTACATGTATTATAAACCTTTCTCTTCAATCACTCTATCTATTAAAAAAAACCGCTTCAAAATCCCTTGTATAATTTTAAAGATTTAAGCATACATTCGGACATGCAGCGATAGGGACTTTGTTTTATACTATGTAATAATGACACACTAGTTACCTGCCAGCATATACTGTTTTCGCAGACTGATACAGCATTCCATCTATATTCTATAAATTTGTAATTGGGAATAGTATGCCAATTGCATAATTTGCAAATTTTGCAACTTGTATGTATAAAGTTAAATCGACCTTTATGCCTGGGAACCATAGTGTTTAATTCATAATGTATTCTTATGCTCTCAGTATCCGCTGGTGATGTAACACAATGAAGGGTGCACCATTAAATATAGACCATCTATAGATATATAAAACATATATCTTTTTTGCATATTATATGTAACTAGCTGTCCCGGCAAACGTTGTTTTGCAATATAAATTAATAACGCTATAAAGAAATAGGGGTTGATGATAGAAGGGTGAAAATTTAGGATTGTATGTATTTTTGTATGTTGTATCATAAAAAAATAAAAACTAAAAATTTTGTCTACAAAATAAAAAACAAATTTAGGGGTGGGCAATCCTATACCGATTTTCAATTTCTTTTTCATCATTAGACACTATTATATAGAGGTTGCATTTTTTTTAATGCCACATTATTAATAAAATGTTAGGGGTGGACAACCACTAACATTTAGGGGGATGAAAAATAAATGTTGGTCGATTCTCAGACCTACTCAATACGCTCACAAAATTTCATGAGAATCGGTCAAACCGTTTCGGAGGAGTATGGGAACGAAAACTGAGACACGAGGATTTTATATATAAGATTTATTTTTGTATCTTATTTTTAAAATAACTTACTAATATTTTTTTTTGGAGGATAATGGTGTATCGCCGGTCTTAATGGTATACGCAGTTAGGGCACCAGAGGAGGATGATAAGATGAGTATGAGATCAGGTCAGTTAGCCGATCGTGACAAATTCACCAAGAATATATCACGGTTTCCAGGGGGAAAGAGCGTGGAGGTCAACCTGACATTGCTAGCAATAAGATCATCAATCCACATTACTAACAATCCCCTTTCTCCCCAATAAGTAGTATTATATATACCCGATGAGACAAATAAGAATAATTATATAATATTTGTGCAGGTGGAGCTATTGCTATAGATTTGGCTTCAAGGTTAGAATATCGGAGCAAAATTTGGGCCGTAGTAGTGGAGAACACATTTACCAGTATACCAGAAATGGCTAAAATTATTCTGAAATGGAGGTGTTTATTGTGGTTACCAGAGATTTTTCATAAGAATAAGGTACAGTATAATAGACATTAGCATATTTATTAATATTTTATTATAAAAGTATGATGTTCAACAATATAGTTGAATATATAGTCTAGGTGGTATAGCTGTTTACTTCCAATGGTCGCGGGTTCGATTCCTCGTTCGGTATAAACATTTGTATTAATGAGTATGATTGTTAGTAGCAGTCTGGGTGTTTTCTATGTATAATATGTATGTATTTAGGGAAAAAAAACGATGTATTTATATCAGTTGGCTAGTACCCATAACACAAGGTCTAGATGGCGCTGTGTGAATTGTCCTAAAATTATTATTATTATAATTATAGTGGTTGTGAATGTATATGGCGATATTTTATTTTTTATTGTTATTTTCATTTCATTGTTATTTTACTCAAGGTAATATTTTTAGCTATTTGTTGAGCAGTTTTAACTAATCTGTTTACCATCAGACATCCTGTTTTTAAATGCGAAATTAACTTTGTGTGTACGTTACAAATTCATACACAAACCACTAAAATAATGTTGATAAGATTTAGTAAAGAGATATATTAGACCTTGATATAAGATAAGGCTACGTTTTGCAGCAAAAAAGATTCTTAAGGGGTTGAAGGTGTATTTAGGGAATTAATAATTTGGTATTTAAGGAGTTTTATACTCATTATAATTATGAAATTAAAACTTTTTACATACACAGGTTGTCTCGAAGAGATTGCTTTAGCTAAGATAACACCGCCTTTTGTAAGCACAAAAGGCGGTGTTATCTTAGCTAAGCACAAAATCAAACTAAGTTTTATTTTTAATGTTTCAATTTTCTTCATTACCTCTCTAAGTTTGTGCAATAATGTGTTTTAAATTATTATTACTATTATAAACGAGAGTTTGTAAGTATGGATAGATGTTTGTTACTCTTTCAAGCAAAAACTACTTAACGAATTTTTATAAAACTTTACAGTAATATGCTTATACATCATAATAACATGTAGGCTATAAATTACACGCGGGTGAAATCAGGCACAGCTAGTAAATAATAAAGATTTTGTAATAATGCTACGCAAATGTAGCTGCTGGTGTTAAGCTATTAATTTTATTATCATTTAAATTAAAATAAATATTTACACATGATATTATGCAGGCATGGTAATGAATGAATCACACTTTACAATACACATTTACAATAATAATGTTGTGTAAAGATGTTGATAATGAATTATTAAGTTTTGTAATCTTTATTTGCAGTATTATTCAATAAAGAAAATTGTTCACATAATGGCGCCAACTTTGGTGGTATGTGGCTCAAGCGATGCATTGGTGCCACCTTCTATGGCCAAAGAGCTATACATGAAGTGCGGGGCGGCGTGTAAGAAATTGGTTGTGATGCCAGGTGGTGGGCACGATGACACGTGGACCTGCAGAGATTATTATACATCTATCAGACAGTTTATAGCGAATGTACCGTCTTTGTCACAAAATATGGGTCCTTTCTTCGACGATGTTAGGAAGGAACCGCTCCGATCCACCGCTAACAGATATTCGATTGTGCAGACTGTGTAGGTATTCAGATGAAATATGAAGATATTACTTGTGTCAAATATTTATTCAAATTGTACAGTGCGATGCAACTTTTGTATGCACACCACTGTTGTGATTTCTTTATAATATTATGTAGATATTCGTAACGACTAAATTATCATTGTCATTAATAAATAAGTAGTAAAAATTACGTATTTGGTAATATACCAAAAGTAAAGCATTCCAAAACCTTTAAATACACAAATATTATGTACTTTATTCGTAATAGATATTTTCTTCAGCAATGTCAATTATAAAATTATCAGTAAGTAATAAAATTTATGTAATTCTACAGCATAATAAAATAATTTATATCTATTTATTTGAATGGTTTTAAAATACAATTAATGATTAATGAAACTTAATTTAAGCACTTATTACAGGAAGATTATGAACGTTTATAAAATTACTTTGATACTGCCAAGCGTGGAGTTACTCTTGTTTTATATTTATTTAAATACTTTACGATTATTTTTTAAGTTTTTTTTTTAAATTATGTATTCTTCAGTGTATTGATTGATCGATTAATGTATGTGTTCAAAATAAAAATAAAATTTATGTTCTACAAATAAAGTAGGTGGTGTGTAAATAGACTTACTCAACGTCTAACAGCCAGTCTATATACCGGAACCGGGTAAAAGGCTAAAGAATAATAATTATCAGTAAAATAAATATGTTACATATTGTTTTTTTTTTAATTACTATTATTTTTATAATTTTATTTCTGATAACTATTATGACAGAACGGGTTCCGCTTTAATGTCTACTTCTTGGAAAACCTGTGTAATAGATATTACTTGTTAATAATATAAACCAGTGTTTCCCAACCTTTTTTGTGCCCACCTTAGACCTTCTAAAATTCTTATATCCTCTCTCCATGGGTAACATTAATAACTTTAAAAAAATAATTGTTCACTTAAAAAATCTAAATAATGGGCTGTAAGAAAACACGAAATTATTAATGGAACACTACATAAATTTTCAAAACATAATGAAAAACAGAAATTTATATTCCATTTTCTATTTGCCCCCCTTAACTTGCCCCCTCTGGAGTGTGGGCCTCACGTTGGGAAGCACTGTTTATATTGTAAACGAAAATAGCAATTATACACTAAAATTCTTATTATTTTAATCCGATCGAGATTATTATTACGTATTCATAGCTATAGGATCATAATTATACGCATGGGACTTATAACTCTATTATATATATAAATATATATTTATAGGAATATAGCGATTCAAATTTATCTATTTATGATGGTGTTAATGCAATAAAAAAAATAAGCAATATAAACTTCTATAGAATTTGTGACCCAGAACAATAATTAAATTAAATTTACCTGTCTACCTATTAAAATAGTTACTTGTAACTCTGACCTATATATTTAACACTGTTGTAAATTCATACAAGTCATATAATTAATTTAGACATTATATTAATTGTATTTCTTATATATTTGCTCATACATATATGAATTAATTTTGATTATCATGTTGATGTTCTTATGATCTCTTTACGATGTAAATACGATTTTTAACTTTACTGCTATAGGTTTAAATTGTACCGATTAGACGTAAATACAGATCAAGTTTGAAGATTACATTGAAATTCAATTATGCATACCAAATTAATTCTAAATTAAACATTATTCAAACCTATATGACAGTGAGATTAAAATATGGCATTTTATTATTACACTAGCTGAGCCTGTGGCTTCGCATCCATAGTGGAGCTTACAGTGAGATATTAGTGGTAGTGCATCAAAAACAAATAAATCTATCGCACAAAGGTTCAGGGTTCAATTTCACGAAAGGACCCTATTTAAGGTTTTTTTTCATATACATAGCTTCCATATTTCTGGTACTATAAATTATATTTCTTATATAGGTACCCCTTCTAATCCACACGCCTGTCCGTGTTTTCACTCGGATTAAATACTTCAACAAACTAAAATAAAATATCTTTTAAAAACGTTTAATAGATGTAACGTTTAACAATAATTATACATATGTATATCAGGACCTATTAGTTTTATCTCATAAAAAATACCTATAAATTCTGTATTACAATCTGAACACTTCAGAAATTTACCCCCCATTTTAGGTAATTTTTTTAAAATTCGTATTAGGTGAATATACATATAATAATCAACTTCGTATGGTGAAAAAACACCTTATTCTAGTGAATTATGAGTCAAAATCAACTCAACAATAAGTCAAAATCATTAATTATTGAATTTAATAAAATTCAATATTAATTATTGAATTTTATTAAATTGTTCGACTTTGTGTAATAAAAAAATAATAATATCTGACTACAAATGTGTTTGCATTTTTTTATCAACGATGCGATGATAACCAGAATTATTATCACTGTTACCATTCAGATTAGCGTTTGTAACATCGATTTGCCTGCATTTCGTCGTACATACTAAAAAGAGAAGTACTTACCGCTCTATTAGATTAATCTGATAGTCCACTTCGAACGGTTACTTTTACCGTCCTATTCAAGGAAAAACCATATAAGCTTAAATTTTTGATGTTAGATACGCATTTGGGGGAACCACTGAGGTTTTTTATATCGCATTATAAAATGAACAGTCCTAGATTCTCGACGTTTAAAAAAATAATAATTAAATGTTTTATTAAAAAAAAAAGAAGCGTAGGCTCGGCTGGTACAATTTTCTGGTCTATATAGTTTTAATTATTTAATTTCTGCACAAATTTTGTTTTATATAGAGTAATTGTTGTAAACCAACGTTCTAATTAACAATAATTTATTTCTAGATATAGATAAGAATGTTCTGTGGACTGAGATAGTACCTATGTACAATTACAATTATGGTCATTATTTGAAATTGTCTTCTTTCACACATATTATAGGTATATAACTGTTGTTATAGTTTATTTTCTAAGAAACTATAACAACAATACACATCAAATAAACTATTATATCAATCAAATACACGTATTTTAATGCTTCAAAATATGAGTATTTGACTTAAGTCCAAATCTTGTTAATCAGTTATGTTAGTATGAAAATTAGTAAATGAAACAGTGGTTGTACATGGGTATTGTTATAATTACTGACGGTTGTACGGTTAGTCTATAAGTTACATAGTTTTAACTGTGGTATAGTGATGGACTGTGTTATTTATGTACAAGTAGATTTAATTTATAATTTTAACAAATAATCCGTCCATAAAATGGATGAGCAAAATTACTTCCTTATAGACTCGTATTTTTATCGTTTCATTAGGTTAAACTCGGTTTTTTATCTATACATAATTAATCCGAATTGCGGATATTCCTCATTGTTGAGTCTACTTTTAATTCAAACCAGCCACAGCTTAGTTTTTTTTTATTTATTTTCTATCGAGTTTGTATTAGGAAAGTGCCGGTAATATTATAAGAAATTAAGTGTTTATAATAAAATTATGTGAATAAAGTTTATTATTCTAAAACAGGATTTCTTTGATCTCTTCTGCAAATAATATGTACAGATTATTTTCGCATATTTATTTCATTCCAAACGAAGCTTTAGACGAGAAAAGGGTCTCATTGTCAGTGGGCTGTAATAAAATTATTAATTATGCACTGTTAACTACTTGATAAATATAATAATATAAAAAAAATCTAAATCATTTTTACAAATATTTTTTATGTATATGTAATACTTTACATTTATAATGTTTTTGGTACTTATCACTGAATATTTTCTCTTTTAAACTACCTAACGTTTAATCATTCCATAATTTTGTTGTATCGCAAGCACATAATTTTGTATACTGTAATTTTTTTGGCATACATATTTATATTCTATGAGAATTAAAATATAAATTAATATTTAATTTTGTTCAATAAAAAAAATATAATGCATTTAAATCATAAATTTTTTCATGATATACCTTTTCTTAATAATCTCATAAAATATTTTTCTAGTTGCGATGGGTATGTAACGAATTATATTGCATATTGTTTGTTTACCAGAGACCATATTATTGCATTTATTGAATTATAATTGGTTCAACATAACTTTAGTATTTTATTATTTCTTATTCTACAAGGATTTCGAATATAGTAACAAGATGATTAGATGATAAACGACCAAAACCAACGAACATTTGCATCCTCGGGGACTACATATTAATTTCTTTCATCATACTTCTTACCAGTTCTTCTCGATTAAACTGTATATTGCACTGGAAATTATGATAAAAAAATTGATGTTCATAAGCGGCTAAAATATTCAACATGACTGATTTGATTTGATTTGATCTAACTATGAGGGAAGGCTGTTGTTAGTATAAACTAATTCATTCAACCCTCATTGCAACAGTACCTATCATATCAGTAAACCTCGCGGAAACTTACTTATTTAAATTACTGGTGAATTTGTCACGGTACGGTGGGTTAAATGATCTGTAGGACTTATAAACTTCCACTGGTGCTCCTTCAGCGTAAACCGGCAGTGCACACGGGTGCAACGTCCTGTTCTCCTCCATTAAAAAAACTATTATCACACTAGCTGTGCCCGCAGTTTCACTCGCGCAAAATTTATAGCCTGTGTTATTCTGACAAGCTATATTATTGTAATGTTTCATTAAAATCAGTTCAGTCATTATTGTGTGAAATAGTAACAAACATCCACATTAACAAATATTATTATATTAATATGAGCAAGATACACATAAATAGCGACCCGCTCTGCACGGGTATTTATGCACCTAAATTTTTTTCAGAAATCATTCTATTGACGGATAAAAGCTGCACGAATATTCAGACACAATTTGTCTTATTGTGTGCACAAGATGTATAATCTATACGTATAAATAAAATTGGAGTGTCTGTCTGTAATATTGAAATAACCTACTATGAATATAAATGCAGTACATACGCCAAAATAACCATTTTTACAATTTTTGTCTGTTTGTTTGTTCCAGCTAATCTCTGAAATGGCTGGACCGATTTTGACGGGATTTTTATTGGCAGGTAGCTGACGTAATAAGTAGTAACTTAGGCTACTTTTATTTTAGAAATATTTTTTACTTCAGAAATATAAAGTTACTTTCCACGCGAAGTCGCGAGTACGGCTAGTTCTCAATTATAATAATCCTGGACAATTACGCAGAGCCTGTGGTATGGGTACTAGACTATATACTACTACACCCAGACCGATACAAACACTCAGGAATACAATTGCTTACCGTGCGAGGAATCGGTCTCTCGACCATCGGAGGTAAGACAGCTGTGTGCTGAACAGCTAGACCACCCAAGCCGTCAAAATACTATATTTATTACAATCGACACTAGTAGCTATCTATGTATCAGACTGTATATGATAAAGTAGATTTTTCTTACATTTTTTGAGAGTGTGATAATCACTGTTCAAAATATCAGTAATAATAGTAGCAATATAACCTCAACTCAAAGCATGCTGTGGTAACCTATAAATATGAGAACAATTAGTATAAGACCATTAAAAAAACGTCATTTTTATATAGCTGTATCTTATGTTGGTAATCCTTAAAGTTAAATAAATAAATGAAAGATGCAATAAAAAATTGAGTGGGACATGTAGATAATTGAAACAGTAATAATCTCCTAAAATATTTAATATACCAAGAATTATTTAACAATCCACGCACCGTATGGTACTCTAATGTATGTAAACAAAAAATTATTTAATATACCGTAAATCATTTCGTGAAGAGAGGTAGGTCCTTCATACAATCCACTTGTAAGTACGAAATACGAAGTTAGGATAGAAACATTGTATATCAAAAGTTATTCCAATTTAGTTTCGTAAATGCTAATATAAGGTACCTGATACAAATAGGGCCGTTCAAATTGTACAAACAACTAATATTTCACATATATCAAAAATAAAATCAATTTTTGGTAAAAACAATACAAATAATTTGTTACACTCTGTTATAACAATAAATAATATCAAAACACCATTGGATCTTATTTTAACATATCCTGTATTTCATTGATTGACGTGTTATTAATTTACCAGTGAATATTTGAATATTTTAAATTACAAAAATAGAAAACTTAGGTTGTTTTTATTCAGCATTGCTGATTCAACATAGGCTATTTTGTGTCCCTATTTGTGTCAAACACTTCACAATATAAACTAATTTGTAAATAATTTTGCCCAGTCTTAGTATAGAAAGAGTAGCACGAAATAGTACAGTATGAGTAATCCATAAAAAGAAACGAGAAGTATGTGTAGAAAGAGAACTCTGTAGACTGTAATATACATATAATTTAAATTGATATAGTTTATAACATACGCTATCACGAATAAATTACTAAATAATAACGAGTCGTAATTCTACGTTACATGCCTGATATACATAACTGCAACTCTAAATACATATTATAATATGTTTAACAATATGTATTTGTATATTATATTACCTTCCATTACATATTTGCAATGTAATCATAAAATTATAAATTACATCGCTATATATTATTATGTTAGACAATTATGACCAGTTAATTTATATTATGTCTATAGAAATTGATTAATGGGACTAAAAATTCCCGGTCGAATCTACAGTAATTTGCAATAAATCGTATAATACCTCCACTGTACGGTAGCGGCAACGTGAATATTATGTGCAATAATCAACTACACAACATTTATTTAATTCAAAACATCCAGTATAATTATTTAATGAGAATATTCAATATTATTGACACAGGTAAAGAGTATACGATATAGAATATTATATGATTAACAGTGGTGGTAACGAGATAGTGGGGGCCGGATGGATGTGTTGCACGTGGGGCTCCGCTAACTAAACAGTGGCTCACTATGGATAATAAGATAGTTCCCTGGCCCTGTACTATGCCCCATATGCTAAAAAGTACACTCTCACCCTCACCCTAATATAATGCCACTGTACCAACCACTCGAAAAAGACAACTACTTTAATCAGATTTATTACTGTTAACTATTAATTGTATATGTAATCTATAGGTACTTATGTTGGTACTATGTGTAAACTAATTGAAGAAATTGACGACAGTTGAATATAGTAAGTTTTTTAAAAGTTTTTGTACAATTGAATAAGTAGTACACAAAATGCACTACCCGTAACTAGAATGACTATGTAATGTGTTGTATAGGCTGCCTATAACTTCTATCGAGGATAGAACAAGTAAATACATAGATATACAAATATAACACTCAAATATATAGATAATATTATAATCATTGTAAGAATGTGTATTCTTTAAAAAGAATCATCAAATATTTAGATAACATGCGATCAAGTGATCAACAAATTTATGTGTATGTACATTTTTATAAAGTATAAGCATATATATTATGGTGTAGAAATATTGCTAAAAAGGAAATATAGTAGTTATATAAAGTTACAATTCAGAGTTAGATAACAACTACAAACTGTTATGCAGTTTGGCCATTTAATTTAATATGAGTAAATGTGCACATCGACTATTTAAGTGGATAAACAATTAGCACAATATTATCAATGTACGTATGAACGTCCTTCACAGAAAATCAAATATGATGGTGTATATGATAATTTCGGTGTGTGGCGCTGTGCAGGTGGCACAGTAGAGCGTGTGCGACGGCGATGTGGTGGCATCGAAGTAAGGGAACTGCTAGCGGCGCGCTCCAAACTCCACCGCATCGTCGTCGGTGATGTCACCATGCCGCCACAGGTTCAGGCGGGAGCTCCGCGCGTGCTCCTGAGACGCTCGGTAATCGGCTATCAGGCCAGTCAGTCGGCTGTCACGGAGGCTCTCCATCAGTACCAAGCCCTCCTTGATCAGGTTCTAGAAACAATTATTATATTAATAGAGAGATCAAGTTTTTATCTGTATTTTTGTTATATTATTTAAAAATAATCTTTGAAATCAAATAGGAATTATATGGAAATAAATTAAGACCGTGTAATAAGAAATCAAATTAAGAATTAATTTATTAATGTAGGACCATTTTCGCCACTTAAGAATGTTAAGTTTTTTGCATTAATATTTTTTCCCTACCATTCAGTTTATTATATTTGTGTGAAGAACTGGCAAGAAACTCAACTGAATTTCTTTTTTTTTTATAAGCCAGTTCATTTACATTAATAAACATTAATAATATTCCCTTGTACATGTCATATTATTTAAAATCACTCTTTGATCTCATGTATACTTTACTTACCTTCCCAAGATCAACATTGGTGTTGGGGTCAACAAGAGTGACAGCTGCTGGTGAGCCGCGAGTCTCCACATTGAGTAAGAGCTTCTTATTGAAAGTGTCATTGGCGAAGACAGACACAGCCTCAGAACGGTCATCAGGATCAGATGGAAACTTCACACAGCACAATAGATACTCAGTGGCATATGGTGGATCGCTTTCTGTTCCAGCAGGAAGAGATGCTAATCTGGTGCAGTTCACGATCTACATAAAAAAAAGAGGAGAATATTATATTAGCTACCTAATTATATAAATATGTGGTACGATAGTATTAATAACTCAGGTTATTTACAGTTTAATGGATTATTATAGAAATAAAAACTATATTACTTAAAGGCACAATATTCTTTGACATTGCATAGGTCTGGCCGATTTTTCAGATTATAATAAAATAGGACACTCATTATTGTAAATAATTTAATTTAATTAACAAACTTACTTCTCTGTTTCCATAATCAATGTACAAGATGTGTACGAGTTTATCATCAGTGATTTTCTCCACCTTAGCCCTGTACCACTGGTCATCCAATGTAAAACGTGCTGCGCAAATGTTGCCTCTTCGTGGTACGTAAGAGCCTGGCAGAGGAGCGTTGGTTTTGAAATCCTGATGAATTTTCTCCATCAATGCCTCCAGCTTTCCTCCTAAATCGACATTTTGGGCATAAAAATTGCCTTCTGCAGTCACTTCTGTAATGATAACCTTCTCGTATTTCATGACACGATCCTGCACTGGCGCATTTCGTTCCCTTTCGGTTTCTTTGTCTGCTTCCATGTAATCTTTCCATATTCCAATGCGTTTCTTAATGGCATTCTCTTCTGCAGTTTTGATCACTCTAGCATACTCAGATGTTTCTGCGGTGTGATGTATTGAAGAGAGGCCATGTTCAACAAGTGATATGGATAAATTTTCATTATCAACCCACAGCCAGCCGATGAAGTTACCAGCTTTATCCATTTCTTCAATTGTTACGATCACATCATGTTGTAAGCATTTTTCTTTAGTGAAGTGGAGAGCTTCTTCTCCGTATGGCTCCGCATCCTGCATTCCGCCTCCACCGACAGCTGGTCGGGCACCCCTTGGGCAGTTAATACCGGCCAGCAAAAAGGTGACCAGCACAGATTCTTTGGGAATGTATAACCTCATGCGTGATCCACTTGCAACGAATTCCACAGTGGCTTCTGTCTTTTGTGCCCGCTTCAAGAAGGGGAAGAATTTTTTAGCCTTAGCAGAATCGCCACTAGTGTCTTGTATGCGATGAGCAGGAATGTCTTTCTTGGCGTGAACGCCGATAGCAGCTTTCATAGCTTTTTGTTCAGCCTCCAATAATTTGTCATAGTGAGAGCTTCTCTGGTCATTATCGTTTCTGTACCTCACAACTGTTGCATATCCCTTTGCTACTAAGGCCTCGGCAACGTTTCTGCATAACATATTGTGAATAACGTTATTTAATGAAATTAAAAATAAACATACTATAATATTGAAACAATACTTTCACATTTATACACTTTGTAGATTGGGTTATACTTACGTTCCTCCAGCGACCACTGTGCAGCAAGTTTTCTCTGGGAAGTTATCCTTGGCGGGTTGGATATAATCCACGGTAACATTCACTTTCTTGCCCACAAGTTTTTTCCTTAGGAACTCACGAGCTTCGAACATCCATGGTATATCGTATAAGGGCTTGAATCCTTTTGGTCTTGGTGATTGCTTGCCTTCATCATCACTCCTATGAATTACATTAGTTTGAAATTAATTTCTACACTGAAGTATCATTTATCAACTTTTTTTTAAAATTTTACAATATAACAGATTAGAAGATAAAAAATAAGGAATAATTACTATTTAAGTTATAATTATAATATATATAATATATAATTATACATACATTTAGTTACAAAGACATAATAGATACAATATAAAAGATACAAAAAGATAATTTGGACTTACTTTTCACGCGGGGGCCTGATGCTGGCAAGGAATATCTTCTTGTACGTGTTATTGGACATCTTTACGACCAGTGCATCTCCGTTCACGACCTCCAATACAGCGGCAGTGAACTCTTTATCTTTAGCTGGTATTATCGGAGCATTGCTCGTGTAATTAGTCCAAATACGGAGTCTTGCATCTTTCGCGGCGCGTTCAGCTGCCCTCAATTGTGAAGCACCTATATTTGTATATATTTTAGTGAACCATGTTGTTTTTAATTAAGACCATTAAACACGATTGTGGTACACACTTTTATTGTAAATGTATTGTGAGAAACCTTACATTGTACTGAGGTGTTTTGTATTAATGTAAATAATTCACATTATTTGTCTTCTATAAACTATTATAATATTAAATTTCAACAGAATTAGTAAGTGACAAACACACTATGTCTGTATATAAAAAAATTAAATTAGTTAATAAATGGCGATGTTTTATGAAATCAATAGAAAAAAACAATCTATAAAGACTACAACAGAACTGACCAGATTTCATGACGGCAAGAGACCAGTCGACGCATCTAGCGAATCCTTGACGTAAAAGTGCCTCCGCAATATTGCCCTGGGGATGAAGGATGGTGCCAACAAAGTTTGCATTGTTGACAGACTCCAGTACCACTTCAATATCTTTCTGTAGTAGCTTGGACTCCACAAAGTAACGGGCTTCTTCGGCGTATGGTTCAGATTCGCCATCTTGTTTGATGAGTGGGCACTGTAATCAGTTAGCACATTTATAATCACTTGTCATTAGATTATCCATATTCTGGTTTAATAAAATGAATAAGAAATGTGGGAAATTTTCCATTTGTCGTACACATATGGCCAAAAACCTTAAATATAAATTGATACTAAGTCAAAATGGATTCTTGAATCATTATGACTGCTAAATTTCAAACAATAGTAATCTATTTTTTTGTCCAAAATAAGTAAGTACTTAGATGTATAAACCTTAGCTCAAACCTTTTTCTCAAAGGTTTAATATGATTAAATAAGAAATTAATCGAAAGCTAAAAATGATCTGAGATTGTATAATTGAAGGCAAATTATTCGATTCTACTCTTGCTGTAATTGTAATTTCATATTATTTGTATAACTTAATACAATACTTACTCTGATTCCAGAGAGCATCAATGTAATCTGATGGAAGTCAGGTAATAAGCAGATCCTGACTGTTGATCCATCTCGCACATATTCAATGATACCTTTGACGGGGTGTCCATTGTGTTTGTTGACAAATTGTTTGGGGTTATCGATGGTCGGTTTCAATTCACGAATATGTTCCTAAAGTACATAAATTTCATTAAGTAACAAATTATTACAATTAATAAAAAAAAAGCTTACAAATTATCCCTACTCATTGTCTCTAATTATCAATTTAGATATTTTAAGATTTGTACAGAAAGAGACAGAAGATGAAACTATAGATGTAACTCTTTTAAAACTTTCGATTATACGGAATGCTCCTGATTTTTATTGATTCGGATAATCGGGATTCTACTGTAGTTCTTGTTGTACATGTAATATGTACTAGACTTAATGCCTTCTTTAGTAGTTAGTATGTCCAAATTAATTGACTGCCTCTGTGGTTTAGCGGTTTAGCACACCGCTATTCTTCCGATGGTCGCGGGTTCGTACGATGCAAACATTCGTATTATTATTTGTATCAGACTGGGTATTTTCTATGTATACTATTTTACGTATGTATTTACAAAAAAATATGTAATATCAGTTGTCTAGTACCCATAGTACAAGCCCTGCTTACCGTGGAACTAGATGGCGCTATGTTAATTATCCAGGGACAATATTATTTAATTATGACTAAGGTAAGTGACACCATCTTTGTATAGTAATTGTCATGACACGGCACGAACATGAGACTTAATAAATAAGTTGATCAAAATTGCAACACTGCAATTTTTTATCGACTATAGGATGTGTTGAACGCTAAAGTGATGTTGATTAAATAGAAAATTATATACCTACCTACACTAAAACATAGGAATTAATTATTCAGACACTTACTTGCGTGTCTGAACTCCAGATGCCCTTGCCTTGGGATTTAGCAATATCTTCAATTTCTACTAGTCTTTTCAGGTGCGGTATATTCCTGCCTCCATCTCGAACTTTTACCAAGCCTTCAGATAGCAATGTTTCAGTCACATTCTCATCTTTTGATGGATCCTTGCCAGCCCAAACAGAGCCATACTCCCTTGTAGCAGAGTTTGGTGGTTTCTCTGCCGTGAATATGACCTCTTTACCAACGAGCTTCTTTCTCAGGAATTCACGAGCGGCCCATGCGTAGGGTTCTTCTTTTATTTCCACATCACTGTTAAAATATAACAATTTTTAGTTGCATCATATTTGCAAGCCAATTTAAAAAGCATTTGCAAGTTTAGTTGCAAATGTTTTGAATATAGTGAGTATGGTATATATATAATAAATATGTAATATGTTTGCGTAAGTGATCGCTGTCTGCTGGAAGATATATATGTGAAATGAATACTATAGCAGGACTTCATTAATGCGGTAAATACCATGACAATGATGGTTAAATATTGTTTAGTTGTTTGTTTGCGCGAGCTAGTTCTACAAACGCAACAGCTTCAGGTGAGATTTCACTTTATAGCAATAATAAACTTCATTTAAGATTTAATGTTTTGTTGCAATCGGAATTATAATAACAAAAAAACTTTAATTTTTATCTACTATGTTATCTAGTAGTTAATCTAAACCTTTAAAGATTTAGAACCTTTAACTACCTGTGGACTTCTTGTTAGCACATATAAAGACATTTTCATGTGTGCTTAGTAACGTTATTTTAATATTCGTTATGGATATTATTCCACAGAAAAATAATATTTTGTTTCTAGTTTGAGATTGAAACTAGCAATTGCTAGAATATAATTTAATGATTAACGCACCAGCAATGTAAAATGAAATAAAATGACAATTCATTTAAGTTCTCTTAGAATACAAACAAACATTTATACATATTATTACTATATAAATATGTATAAACATACAACATTCTCAAAGGGAAGAGGCAACAATGGGCGGCCTTATCGCTGAAAAGCGATTTCTTCCAGGCTTGTAATTGAATGTAAATGTTAGGATTAATTTCCTTTCTTTATCTATATTAAGATATTAATGAATAAGAATATTTCGTGTAGTGTCAACTAGTTGTGTTGCTAACTTTCGAGTTTCGTACTTCGCCGCCATTCGCTATTGTCAATCGCGTAAGTCCAAAATTTCGCATCAGATATAAATTATGAACGCACAGAATTATAAATAATAGATACACATCGGCCTCGGTGGTGTAGCGGTTTAACACACCCCTTACTTCCGATAGTCGCGGGTTCGATTCCTCGCACAGCACAAAAAATTTGATTCATGAATATGATTATTTGTATCGGCCTGGATGTTTTCTATGTATGGATTTACGAAAAAAAAAAATATTTTTGTAGCAATTGTCTAATACGCATAACAATCTTTGACAAGCTTAACTTGAGTCTAGACGCGCTGTGTGAATTGTCCTGAGATTATTATTATTATCTGAAAAACTAGATTTAAAACGTTAAAAGTGGTTTTATTTGAGGGTGCTTAAAAATAAAAGCCATAATATTGCTTCTAGGTAAGAATATTCTTGCTATAGATTGTTAATTTTCAGAACTACTTTAGTGCTCATTTATAATGTAAAATAAGAAACTTTTGTAAGAGCTTTAAAGCTTCTAAACTTACAGGTTTAAGGCGTGCGCTGTCAGTCACTCAATGTCTAAAGTTTTATTAATTACATTGAGGGTAATACTTTTAGTATATTACAGTACTAAGGGATGTTGATTGGTTATCAGAATATTATTTTTGGAATAGTTTCACCCGTAACAGTTTACTGAAGCTTTTCGCCAATTAGACACGGTTATTATTCGTATCTATAGTGTTTACAAAATCAATAGAATGTTAATGAAGGGCGGACTTTTATAATGTTGTTTAAAATTGGACTCATTATAATGGATTAATTTAATATTACTAGCTGTCTCGGCAAACGTTGTTTTGCCATATAAATTAAAATCTCTTTTAAAAAATAAGGGTTGTCGCTAGAAGGGTGAAAATTTAGGGTTGTATGTATTTTTCAATCCTAAATAATAATAAAATAAAAATAAAAAATTATGTCTATAAATAAAAAATAAATTTTTGTTGTGGATATCCCTTACCACTTAGGGGTATGAAAAATAGATAGTAGCCGATTCTCAGACCTACTGAATATGCATATAAAATTTCATAAAAATCCATCAAGCCGTTTGGGAGGAGTATGGTAACTAACATTGTGACACGAGAATTATATATATATATGATACATATATGTCATCTTCAAAGTTATAATATATTTTTTTTTGTTACAATTATTTAAAATCAAATAAATTTTATATATTGGGTATATATTACTTAGTAGTTGTACTCGCGGTTTCACCCGCGGTAAATAAAAAAAAATAGCCTATATGTTATTCTGACGCAAGCTACATTACTGTAAAGTTTTACCAAAATTCGTTCAGTAGTTTTTGCGTGAAAGAGTAATAAAATCCATACTCAGAAACTTTCGCGTTTATATTATTACTAGCTACTCGCCCCGGATTTTCCCATGTGTACATATATTACATTTATAAACCTTCCTCTTGAATCACTCTATCTATTTAAAAAAACACTTCAAAATCCGTTGTGTAGTTTTAGAGATTTAAACATACATAGGGACAGACAGCGACTTTGTTATATACTATGTAATGAATAAGATTCAGTTTTATGTAGTAGCAGGCTGCCTATATAGACACCGCCTTATCTATTTCATTAGTAAAGCTGCAGTTATTTTCGGTCTAAAGGGCAAGATAGCCAGTGCAATCTGATAAAAAAACAGCGCTTTAGTTGTCATGTGTACTAACGCTCGCCAGTCCTGGATTTGTAAATAGGTCATAGAGGCCGCGGCCTAGGGGCGGCTGCGTCCTAGGGACGGATTTCAGAGGGAGGTCGGTCACTCGAATCCAAAGGATAAAAGTCAAACTATTAATTAGAGAAAAGTATTATTTAAAAAAAGTATATACGAAATATAGCGGCGAAAATAGAATGGCCTACACTCATGAAAAATATAAATCCGCCACTGATGCTCACCAGGGATGCCATAGGCGGAATAGTATGCTGATATGTCATTGGAGATCATCAGCTTGTATATAGATGAGTATATATTAGCGATATTGCTAAACCACTCGTTTTTATAGACAATGGAATGATGCACCCGTCTGCACTAACGGTTTACGCTGGCGTGGCGTGTCAGATAAGCAAGAAAGGTGTGGCGTTTCCTAGCTAAACGTGTTCATGGGATGTGAAAGACAAGATGGGCGTAATCAGCTCGAGTGGGTGCGACACCGACCACCGAGTGGGAGGATAGAGTGTACCTACGTCTGGAAACACACTGGTATCCCACAGCAAAAAAAAATACACTTTGCAATTATACAATAATATATAAAAACTTTTTTCTCTCAACGCATATATAGGATAGTATTCATGTAGGGTTGCCAACTATACTGTTTTAAATAGTATTATACTGTTTTCACTAACTTATACTTTTTAGTGTTGAACAAAAATGAAATATACAAAATACTGATTTCAGCATCAACACCTCAGCATTTACAGAAAGAGTTTTTCAGTAATGAATGTTAAGTGATGGGATAATAGGAATAGAGCATCTATTAATTTACTAAAAAATCAGCTCCTCATTTATTTTAATTTCAATACATATAATTGTGGTGAGGTGTGTGTGAAGTTTTTATAAAAGGTTGTGAATTAGTAAGTTGTGTGAGAAGCTCTAAAAATATGTATTTAAAATAATAAATAAATAAAATACTGTTTAATATTCTTCTCAGACCTGAATATACTTTATTTCTTGTAGAAATGTTGGCGTGAATCTAGTCATGATTAAAACAGTATAAGTTGAGCATGTAAACATTTGTCTGAAATGTTTCCAATGACTCTCTTTAAAATATTAGTCTTGATGGTTCTATTATTTCACTATTATAAGGTAAGTAGGTAGTTTCATTATTGTGTCACTGTATTTTAATTTGTATATGTTTCGTGAAAAAGAACAAAATCAATTGTCAATAGCAATTAACTATAAAAACTTAGACAATTTATTTCATCTTGAAAAATAAGAATCTATTTTTAATTTTTTAAAATATGTACCTATCATAGATAATTAAATTTTATTAGTACAAACTACCAAAAGGACTACCATAGTTTAAAAAATACAATATTATCATGGTTATTCTAAAATTTCGTTACATGTTCTGTTAATGCAAGCCAGCTCATTAGCTACATTATTTCCCAGCTTTTAGCTGTAGGTATTGTAAAATGTAGACACAACTTAGTAAAGATTGTTGTAAACATAGGTGAAGGGTGCAGATAATTATCACAATCTATATGTCCATATCAACTGCGCAGGATCACGGTCATAGTCTAGGTCTTTAGTATTTATCATATCAGTACTGAGGCTTGCTTTGTAAGTTAGGTTGCTACCTAAATACTTCAAGAGAAGGTAATCTCTATACAGCTATTTTAGTCTATTACTAATATAGTAGATATAAAGACCTACTATTTTAGTAATAGATTAAAATATTTATTTGTTAAAGATGATTAAATCAAGGTAAAGATATACATATCTGAAATTACAGGATTAAATGTGCCTATATTTTTAATATTAATCATGATCAATGAATGTCAATATATAATTTGGAAATCGAGAAAAACATGTTATTTTTCAGATCCCTCTATCCAGAACCTTAATATTTCTAATGTGTAGACTGTACCATAATATAAAGTAAAGATACTAAATCGATTGACCTATTTACTGATTTAGATTTCCATCTGATGACACTATTATAATTTCAGTTGTATTCCATAAGATCATATTTAATTTTAACTTTTAATATGTGTATTTGTTATTTTAAGTTAATATAACAAAATAATACTGAAACTAAATTTTAAAAACTAAAATATACACCATGTAAAGCATACTAAAACTAAAATAATAAGAGGCAATCCAAAATAAGCAATTCGCTAATGCATTACACAACATTTAATACATGCCTACATAAAAAAAAGTGCATGCCACAATGAGGTACTTTCACTTTGGTGGTTTTTCCATTTTTAATTTTTTTACCACACTTTCAGTGATGCATAGAAAATAGTTAGTAAAATAAAAATAAAATATGAAAAATTCTGTAGATATTATCAGATTTGAAATTCCCATTAGCTTTTACAAAATATTGTTGTAATGAGAGAAAATATAATACAAAAAAAAACATTTACAAATAGTTATAATCATATTATATTTCATTTATTTAAATTCAGTTATGATTTATATATAATTTAATAAAATTTTAATAAATCTTAAGTTACAACACTTATTACCCTGATAATATCATTAAAATCTTCCATAATTGCATTTCATGACATAAAATAAACACAATTTTTGAAGGTAGATCAGACAATATGGAACTTACCTGTTGGCAGTTCTTTGACGTGCTAGTTTTGGTGCAGTTACACCTGATAGGGCGATGACTTTCTCAGGAGGAGGACCACCCTGAGGCTGCCTCCTTATAATAATCGTATCTCCCGATAAAACCTGCAAACATTACAATATTCAAACAAAGGAGTTCCATTTTTAAATGAACTAGACAAATAGAGAGAGGGGTCGATTTTCCGAGGTGCAACGCGCAGGGGCGACCTGATTTTGAACTAGTCAATATTCCATCTGGTACATATAATATAAAGCTAAAAATATATGCTCTTGATCTATATATTCATATTTTTAGTTACAAATAATTAATAATATGACAATGTGGTCGATATCGAGACAAAGTCTTTAATGCATTGTAGTGCCAACAGGGCAAACTATAAGAAATCGGCACGAGGTATAGCTGCTAGTTTATTCAATTTATAAAAAATATAAAATTACTGTATTACCTGCTTAACTATTCCAATTTTATACGCAGGAGCGGGTGCTGGAGCACTCATTTTTAATATAACTTACACGATCAACGTGGTAAAAGTCTATGAAGTTAAGAAATAATGACGAGTGAACGAACAACTAACAAGACTGGCGAAACGTGGCGGACCGTCGGTGTTTCCACATTTAAAAAGGACCACTACACAGATAAAAAAAATGAAATACTTTTTATCGAAAGTTACGCGTCATCAACGCGATCGCGGTTAAGACTGGGAGCGTGAGACTGGGAATGTTGGTTTTCTGTTACAAGCTGTATTGATTTGGAACCAGTGTTGCCACTTTCTGACACAGAAATAAATTTTAGTAATAAATGTAGAAAAAATATATATTGCATCTAAATAAAATTACATTTATTTTACTTTATTATTTTACTTAAAAAATATTTTGGTTAATTTTTGGTAGCTGACCCAGATTTGTATATTCGTCAATTACCGTACCTATTCGGTAGCAATCAATAACGCCAGAGGTCAATCCCCAGGAACACGGTCGTTCTGTTTTATGCAATATTCTTTAAAATTCTTATCTTATATTTAATATTGGCCTTAATTAAATCATGCGAAAAATAGTATTTTCGAGTTATTCGTTGTTGGCATAAAGTATAAAGTACAATTGTAATAAATAAAGTTCAATAATTCGGAACAACGACAGAATCTGCTCCTTCCAAGTCGTCCACAGTCGATAGTGCGCCCTGATTATTATCATATCTGGGAGACACAAATTGAAGTTATATTATTATTGTGTTTTACACAATAATAAGATAACTTCAATTTGTGCCTAACCATAATATAATAATATAAATATAATTTATGCATTAAAAAAATCAAATGTTTTCAAGAAAATATACTATTATAAGATTTATAAGTAAAAAATAATGGTAAGAAAATCTCGTAATATTTATATATTATTACAAGATTTTCTAAATATTTGTGCGAAGGGGACAGTATTCCTGACTTCGAGGTCTCATACGGCAAATGGTTTTCTTAACTAATTATACTGTCAAGATATCAGTACTTCTTCATTACCTGTTAGCAGAAACAGTATAGAGAGGGGTGAAAGGGAATGTTCTGTGAAGGGGAAAGGGGAAAGTGGACTAAAAATTATAAATATACCATGTCAGTTTAATCCCAACGCGGTTCTACGTGGACACCATCGTATAAATTCCTGATATATTTGACACAATGTTCTAATTGAATTATCTGATTTCATGGTCATCACATCATCCTCTACTGGTATCTTCTCCGCCAGCCTATACTGTTAGCGTAGGTGCTTAAGCAATGATTCATTCGTTAACAATTTTCAATTGCAAGTACCTATTATTTTAGTACTTTGATTAATAACTAATTAAAACTTTTAATCGTAGACATACACTTTTAGACAGACAGACTTTTAATAGTACACAATGGTTTAGTTCATATTTTATTTCCATACCAGTGTATTTTGAAATAATTATTCGAATATATTTTTTAGTGTTGCTATGTTCCAAATTTCTTTTATATTGTCTGTTAAATGCTCCTTTCGTGTGTCAAGATATCGAGACAATCCCATCGCGATCGAAGGCGGGAAAATTTAAACTGTGGCTTAAAAATCAAATAAAGAAGCTCATTATTCAATTATATATATGTTTTTCTATGATTGTGGTAAACTAGCATTAGTATAATCTATGCTAGATTCCATGAAGATCAATGATTTCAACATTAATTGTCTAAATAATTAAATAAGTCTGCGTATATTATTTAAAGTAGTAATGTCGTTATAAAAAATAGATAGGTGGGAAGTAGAAGGGTGAATAGGTAATAAAAAATAATATTTTTGTACAAAAAAAATTGCTTGGACCAGTTAGGAGTATAAAAATAGACAACAACCTTTCAGAATAGACGTATACATTTTTTTAAGTTATTACTACTACTACCGCTACTATTATATTTATAAGTCTTTTTGAAGGAATACGACAACTAACAATGATACGAGATTTTTACATATAGGATGTTATTAAACCTAACGTATTGGAATGTAATACACGCAAGTTTACTACGTGGCCAAATAGAAGAAAAATGTTTTTTAAAAATCGAACAGAATAAATGAATTGACTTCACTTTCCAGACGTCAACTGCTTACAGCTTGAAGAATGATTTGTATTATGTAGCATTTTTCTGTGCCACTAGTCACTGTTCTTCATGTATTTTTTAAAATAGTTATTTATCCTTAACAGTTTTAAGTTGAAGAAGTGTTAAAATGGCTAGTGCTGACTTTAGAAAGGACGTATCGATGCCTGTCCGCCCGAGAAGTGTCTATACTGCGCATTCTTATAATCAGGTACCTCCACAATATTCCTTGGCCGACTCCATGAACAAATTAGGTCAGATCTCTTGATATTATAGATATTTTCGGGCAAAGTAAACTTCACATTCTTATACCTAACACTAACCAGGTTAACAAGCCATTGTTGCTTGCTGTCTGTCCGTCCCTAAGTATGCTTAAATCTTTAAGATTAGACTACGAATTTTGACGCGGATTTTTAAATAGAATGATTCAAGGGGAAGGTTTATGTATATAATAATACATGTACACCCGTGTGAAGCCGGGGCGAGTAACTAGTCTTATATATATAATTCTCATGTCACAATGTTAGTTACTATACTTCTCCGAAACGGCTTGACCGACTTTTATGAAATTTTGTATGCATATTCAGTAGGTCTGGGAATCGGCTACTTTATATATATATTTCATACCCCTACCTAAGTCATAGGGGTTGACCACATCTAAAAATTATTTTTTTATATTTTGGACATTTATTGCTTCATTTTTTTATAAATTGGCATTAAAAATACACATTACACTAAATTTTTACCCTTATATCACCAACTCCTTTTTTTCAAAAGCAATTCTAATTTATATGGCAAAACAACGTTTGCGGGGTTAGCTAATATAATAATTTATAATAAAATGATGATACTATACTAAAATAAAAAGGAATTTGTTTAATAGGAGGAGTCGAATTTGTCTGCTTTCCAAGATTATAGCAAGTTCCTGGAAGGTGGATTAGGGCAAGCGGAGCTGGTAGGTGCCGCAGGATGGCAGCCTCCGTGGCGCGCCCCGCTGCAACGCAAAGCGCCTTTCTACCCTGGAGACGACATTTACCATGCTGATACTTGGAGAGAATTGGAAGTAGGTAGTATTAACAAGAGGTGGTACATAGAAGAATTATTATTACATCTACATTCTATTGTATGAGGGTATAGTGTCAATCATGACTTAGTTGCAGTAAGTCAGGTCTGATTAAATATGACTACAGCTTTGCTGGATTAGGAAAAAATTAGGAAAAAATTCAAAATGAGTTCATGTAGAAAATAGTCCTCAGAATTACTAATTAAAACACAAAAACTCGAATTAAGAAACTCCTCCTTTTTGAGGTCGGTTAAAATTGCGCTATGTAAAACATTTATCTATACATATAAATAAAATTTGAGAGTCTGTTTGTAATATTGAAAGAATCGTTTTTTACTACATCCGTATGAATATAAACACGGTACATACAACAAAATACATTTTTTACAATTTTTGTCCGTCTGTCTGTGAGTTTGTTCCGGGTAATCTCTGAAATGGGTAGACCGATTTTGACGGGACTTATTGGCAGGTAGCTGATATTATAAGGAGTAACTTAGGCTACTTATATTTTAGAAGGATAAAGTTAAATTCTACGCTAACGAAGTCGCGGATACAGCTGTTTAAATATATATTTTTAAAATTATTCAAAATTCAAGCTATTTATGAGGTAATAGCACCTTATACATGGTGGGTATCGTCGGCTGTACACGTTCTCTTGTATGTTTTAACTACTGGAAATTCACTCTCTACAAGTACAAAGCAAGATTAATTAGTCATTCTTATTCAATATTTTTAACCATGATCGTATAAGTACATATATTATAGTTGGAGCAAAATGGTGTGAAATAAAATTTATTGCAAAATCTTCAGTATAGTGTATATTAAAAGCAATTAGTTTAATTGCTTTTAATTTAAACTAGAAACTAAAAGTAAAGAAATTTCTGAGAATTCTGAGGTTACCGACCAGCGACGCAGGAGTGTTAAGTCACCATATCTAAGTCAGTACACTGTATTATATAGTAGTAAAATAGAAAATTAGTTAGGTACAAAAATCAAATATATTATACAATTTTTAGTAAAAAAAAAAAATATTATTATATTGTAATATTTATTTTACATGAATACATCTGTCGCAAAGTGAAAATATTATACATCATATAGTGTTTGAATTACAAAGAGGTATGTCAATAGCAAACTTATACTTTATTCCAAACATGTCTCAATCATAACACATCTTTTTGCGTAGTCTGGAAAAAGTAAGTTTGTTTATATTTCCTTATCACAACAAAACAGCTCAACGAATCTTGATTAAATTCAATTGAAAAAATATGCAACATAAATCAAAATCTTAGTGGCGATTGAATCGATCGGATTATGTTCAAGTTAGTTTCGTTATTAATAAAAGTAGAGTCCACTCCGTCCTATTTCAATACCCGAGGCCTTGCACGTCTTCAAATATTATTGAGGACGATCATATAGATTTTAAGGCAGTAAAGCGCTATTTTTAGACAGATTCTAGCACGGTTCTACAATGGAGCCGTAGGGACCCGCGTAATTATAGACCTTTTGTCGCTCATCGACTCGGTGAGATAGTTGAATTGACGAATAACTGTGAGTGGTGTCATGTGCCGTCTGATGCTATCGTAGCCGATGTAGGTACACGAGATGGTGCATCACTATTGTCATATTCTGCCTCGTGGTTACAAGGTGATGCCTTTTTACGCCGACCTGAGAGCGAGTGGCTTAAAGATCGTTAGTTCTCCAGAACATCACAAGATGTGACTTTTGCCGAACGATCAATTAATGTGATCACTTATAGTTCAGTATCTTTGCCTTTCATGTGCATCACCATCGTCGTACTACTCATACTACGACCCGTGGTTACCTTTACCTTTCTACGCCCACCTGAGAGCGAGTGGCCTAAAAATCATGTTCTCCAGGACAACGCCAGATGTGACTTGTGAGGAACGATCAATTAATGTAGTTGAGAACTATCTTTGCCTATCGAAAATAATATTTCGACTGGATCGTATTAATACGAACCACCGTTGCACCGCCCTAGTGTTATTATTTATTCACAAATGTCGTCGTAATAAAATACATTTTGACATTTCTTTAATCAATAGAGTATAGAGTTTTCTGTTTAAATTGTTGTTTCCAACAAAATAAACCTATAGATAGTAATAGTCGTTTATTCCTTAGCCCGATGTCTTGATGAAACAGGAGTACTGCGTGTCGGTGACCGCATCGATCGAGTGGCAAGAGTAGAACAGTCTATTAAGACCTGCAATACTTGATGACCGACATTAAATTACTCGGCTCTTAGTCTACCACTATCATAATAATAATGTAATATAATATTTCAGGACAAATCATAGTGTCATCTAGTCCCAAGCTAAGACAAAAATACCTGTATATATTTTTTTTGTAAATACATGCATAATATACTTAGAAAACTCACAGATAAACAATCATACTTATTAATACAAATGTTTGTACCTGCGAAGGATCGAGCCTGCGACCATCGGTACGGCGCTCAACCGCTAAGGCCGTTAGAATTGAATACAAATTATGTGATGATGGGACAATGAGAGGAGTAGAATTGCGTTTCATTCTACCAGGCACTCCAGGAATGGGAGGAGCTTGAGAGCGAATGATACATACTGTTAAAACAATGCCGAAAGCAACTCTCAAAGTGAGACCCCTCATCCCTCAGGATGTTCCTGGTGTCTCAACACTAGTCATTATTTTAACAGAGGTTAAAGGTTTGGTAACACACGTCTCTCTGCTTCCTGAATATCCAGAGGCCCAAAATCAGTTTTTGATACATCATCCAGTGGGTCCCACCTATGGACTTCAATAATTCTGACCTTTGTTTTCAAAAGCGTATACGTACTTATAGTGTTTATGTCTAACATTAAATGAAAATCCCGTGCATGAACTACAATTGCCATGCATGTTTGTCATTTATGTAATCATTTAGTGAGTAATAAATATAATTAAACAGATGTTTTATGTAACAAGTAGTTTTTATATGTAATTGATATGAACAACATGCAGGCACAGGTTAGGTAGGTAAATCTATATATTGGAATATAATATAAATAAAATCTATATATTATTTAAAGCTAATTGCAGTACATCCTTTGATATATTTTATGTAAATATACCAAAAGTACGAATATAAATATACTACTCTTTATAGCCATTCCTATAGAAAACCCAGTCATTAACTTTGTTTAGAAAAGTTAGGAACAGTAAGTTTGACTTTAAATCTAGTATTAATGTTCCATGATTTAACTTGGCTGTTTTTCACACGGCATTGAAGGCGACGGATTATGTTCTTGATATATATTGCTAATATTTTTTTATAGTTAATCTTATTACATATATATACGTTTTCATTAGTGTGTAACATTTTAATAAATACTTTCGAGGGTAGGTATGAACGATTTCATTAATATAATATTGCGCGTTTGTACAGAATGGTGTAGTCGTGCTCGGACAAGCGCGGTGACGCTCGTCGTTACATTTCTATTTAGTGGTTGCCGTTGTAAGTAGTAAATATAATGTTTCAGGTAACTGACGTTGTCGGCGGCGCTGGCTATAATGCCTCCGTAACTCCGCATGGCACTGTCTGCCTTAGGCTGAGGGATCGAGTCAAGTGAGACATTTATATTATTACTTGATTAGATATCTTTTTAAGATTTATTGAACAATATGGAACATAGAGCAAAGTTTAGCTATGAGTATTTTCTAACCTTTGGAGATGCATATATATTGAACTGCGCCTGAAGAAAAATAATTTACCTATATAATGTGTTTATTCTACAATGGCATGAAATATGGCACAATATCAGTTTAGATAAAAGAACACGAATTTTTCGACTTCAATATATTTATATTTTTTTTTATATAGTAAAGTACCAGAAAGTATTCAGGAGGTTTTTATTTCAAATGTGATTTTTGTGTAGATGATTGTGTGTGTGTGGTGTCTTTGTCAAAATATATGAACCCATTTTTATGATTCCTTATCGAATGTAATTGAAATATCGATTGATATGGTTTAAGAGTTTAAGTATATATTTGTCTTATCCACGTACTGTGAAATTATCTAACAATGTGTGACAGTGTTGTGCCAATTTAACATAGATATACTACAAATACAATTAAAATAAAACTGCATTTTTTATTCATCAAAATATTGTTTCTGAGAACATTGATTAAAATTTTTTTTTTAATAATAACATTCGAAAGGTATTTATTTATGAGTTCTTAGAATCCCACTGCGATTTGATACAGCGGAAGTTGTTAATAGAAATTTTCACTATATAATATAATATATGTATCCTGATACATAAATTATATTAATGCATATAATACATTGATATTTAAGAATGTACGCATGCAAGCAGTGTACACTTAAGTATTGTTGATCTGTTTTAACTTTAATTATTGCTTATTTTGTAAATAATGCTCTTTATATATGTATATCCAGGGTGGACATGACCATAGATGGGGCAGTTCGTGTAACGAATGCTAAAAACAATATAATCTTGGCGTTGTCGAGATCTGGCGCCGCCGCCGCCCTCATCCACCCCAATGGCCGAGTGTATCACTACGGGTCCAGAGTGGAGATACAGGCGAGACACCAGCAAGGCAACAACAAGTGGGTCCACTTTACTCTATTTATATTAAAAATTGAAATTTAAAATCATTCCACATATTTAATTTTTGTCCAAACTCTGAGCAGCCCTTTTTTCTCTATTTATATTATAATTGAAATTTAAAGTAATTCTATATACTTAAAATTTTGCCACAACTCTGAGCGGCCGGACTGTTTGTTTGTAACACTATATTGTACAGTAAATACATTTGAAATAAGGATTCAAAAATAATATAATTATTTTTTAATATTGTTGTATTCTATATTATATTCTGGACTGTATTCGCTGGTCTGTAATAGTTATCAATCATCAAACAACAAACTACCAGAGTCTGTTCTAAATCTGCCTGCAAAAAGATTAAAATGTCGTATAAAACACTTCTTTAGGGGGGAAGGCTTTAAGGGCTGTATGAAAATCAGGGGGTCCAGTATTTGTCCTGGTACGCGAAGATGGGGTACAAGGGCGTGTCGTTTCTAAGCGTTTATATACTCGTAATTACCATCAGGCAGATGGCATGTTGTCTGTCATGGCCTTTGTCCAGCAGTGGACGTCTTCCGGGCTGAGATTATGATGATGATGATGACGATGATGAGATGATATGTTCGTCAGTGGGACTGTGTGAAAACGGTCAGGGATTTGTCCAGGTACGCGAAGATGTGGTACAAGGGCGTATCGTTCACGGCGGAGCAGTGCGCGCTGGTTTACTTGGTGGACGCAGCCGGCACACGAACCACTACCGATACATTCCTTGACATGACCCAGGACTTCACTCTCAACGTATTTTATAAGTATGTATTGTATAATATACTACGATTTTCATTTAAATAGTAGTTTAGTAGATTTTTTAAAACATTAAAAGTTATCATTTGTGTTCTATAATATGTAGTAGACGATTTTTTCGCAATTAAATAAATAAATAACCCTGGACAATTAACATATAGCGATCTAGTCACATGGTAAGCAGAGTTATGGGTACTAAACAACTGATATAAATATTTAGATATTTTTTTTGTAAATACGTAATATACATAGAAAACGCACAGACTGATGCAAATAGGTAGTCACTTAAATAAACGTTTGCACCGTGTGAGGAATTGAACTCGCGACCATCGGAAGTAAAGTGGTGTGCTAAACCGCTAGACCAACGGGGCCGTCAATTGTGTGTACTATGTTTTTATTATATTTTAATCCGCTTACACTAATTATAGTTGTTGACGTGTTATTAAAGTATGAAAATGAAATGATCTCTTGTTACTTGCAATGCCAACGAGTCTTCATTACTAAGAATACCCTCATTATTGCAGATCTCTTAGATGTTTCTAAATTTAAAAGCTAATGAAAGAAATTTATATTACAGAGCAGTTATTAAATTGGATTGATAAAGAATTTGCATTGTTTTTCATTGGATTGATGTAAATGTTAAAAGTTAAATTAAATTTAGGTAAAACATACACATATATGTGTTTGTACATACAATTAAACCAAAAAGTCGCAGTTCTTTGAATTCTTTTTCCCCTTGCTTAAGACTGTAATTCAGGCAAGATATTATGGATTGATACTAGACTATTATAGGCACGATCGTTTTAAGTTGCATTATTGACATTATGTATTCGTGGGAAATGTATCAGCTGCAGTTTAATAATTTACAGTAACTAAAATAGTGCGCAGGAATATCCTTAGATGAAATAATATATTAAATAATTATTTTATATTTTTACTTTGTGTATTCTTACAAAAATTTTAAATTGTAAAGTTTATAGATGTTGAAAACAGTTATAACCAAATTACTTTCTCATTCTCCTTGGTAGAATACGCAGTCCGAGCAGAACAAATTATTTAACTAATTGAACAATTCACTCAGCGCCATCTAGACTATACTTAAGTTAGCTAAAGCTTGTGTTATGGGTACTAAATAACTGATACAAATACATAGATATTTTATTGTAAATAAATACATATTATACATAGAAACAACCTGGCCGATACAATCATACTCATGAATAAAAATGTTTGTGCCATACGAGGAATCAAACCCACGTCCATCGGAAGTAACAATCATAGTCATGAATAAACATGTTTGTGCCGTACGAGGAATCGAACCCACGCCCATCGGAAGTAACGCGGTCTGCTAAACCGATAGACCATCGAGGTTGTCGAAGTACAAGTGTCGAAGTTGTATATGTATATATACATACTGTGTTTATTTCAATAAAGATGTTTTCAATTCCATTCTATTATGAATTGAAATATTGAATGCGACATGAGCGTATGTACACTCGGTCAATGAGAATTAGTGTTATGTAAAATAAATGCGAAAAAATTTTATTACGTCATGTATAAATTATTTACCATTTACTAAAATACCATCCTGATCATCTGGATGAATGGCGGTCCTCCACAGTGCGGTTTTCTAGAAACTTTGCCACACACAACCACATTGTGGAATCACCTTCCAGCTATGGTATTTCCGTACCGATACGATATTGAATCTTTCAAGAAAAGAGCTTATTCCTTGTTAAAAGCACGCAACGTATTTGCAATTCCCCTGGTGTTGCGGGTGCTCATGGGCGGCGGTAATCACTTACCATCAGGAGAGCCGCGTGCTCGTTTGTCCCTTGTGCTATAAAAAAAGAACTTCATAGATTGAACGTGATGATTTATCAATTGTGTTGCAGCGAGTCGAGGCACGGTCCGTCTTATGTGAACGAGGCGCTTTCGTTGCTGCAAGCAGCGCAGTATTGGCTGACTGATGATGGGATTGACAATTGGATAATCAACAATGTGCGCGTCAGTCAGACTGCTGATGGATTGGTCAGGTTGGTTTGTAATTCCTGAAGGATCCTTTCGCATATTAGTCTATGTATACCACAGATAACATAAACGTATACTAATTGTTACTTGCTAGTTTAGACTTGTAATAGATAATTATCAATGTTTAATATTTTGATATGTTAGAGTAACAGTATATTGTAGGTAGATGTATATATTTTAAAATGGCGGTACTTCCAGTCTTGCGTCTCCCCTTTCAACCATTTACAACCCCTTTTCTAGCATTAAAAAGCCTATGTTCCTTAACCTATGTTCTTTCTCAGGATCTAAACTATACGTGTATCAAATTGGCCTAAGCGAGATAGACAGTTTCTTTCGCATTTATAATAATACTAGGCACTCGTCCTGGCCTCGCACGCGTGTACATGTATTATATATGTAAACCTTCCTCCTGAATCACTCGATCTATTTAAAAAACCGCTTCAAAATCCGTGGCGTAGTTTTAAAGATTTAAGCATACATAGGGACAGACAGCGAGAGCGACTTTGTTTTATACTATATAATGATGATAATGTTAATGATATGAAAGACTTATAATGATGCACATATATATTTATATATACTTCTACTATAATATAAGCACATCAGTGCTAAATCGTTCGACCACCGCGGCAGCCATTTTATTTTGTAACAAGTTCCATATTTCAATTTACGATACTTAAATACTCATTTAAATCCTGTCCGTGCCAGATTGTAAAATTGCATTTCAGGGATGCTTTTGTATTAAGCAGCGCAACGGGTGAATTCAATTTCCCGCTACAAATTGGTTCATGAAATACTGTGAATATTCCGGTGACCTAGATTCTAGATGCTAGTGATTTATGCGCTTGTCACTATATTCTGAGTATGACGCAGTTTAAATATTCAGGTTATATGGGCTGCATTTGCTGTATTGATTTTGCTCTTACGCGTTTTACAGGTCATTCATATACCTGCGCAGTTATAAACGATATATAGGTACATATATGTATATGAATTTGTAAAGGTGTAGCATAGATCATAGTTCACAAAGTACTTAAGGCACAATATTCTTTCAAATCATACAATTAAGTCGAGAACATAATAAATCTAAGTATCTTATATTTAAACATTATTTTTGGCATTCAAAAAGCCTTATTTTTGGTTATCTAATAATAATAATATGTGGACAACACACTCAGCGCCATCTAGACCCAAGTTAGCTAACTAAAGCTTGTGTTATGGGCACTAGATAACTGATACAAATACACAGATGGGTCATTCTTTTTTTAACCTACATGATCTTAAAAGTTTTACCTTTACAATTTCCAAAAAAAAATAGAACGCTTGTATCAAATCAAATCACATCACATCAAATCTTGTATGTTTTGAGATAGCTGAATGTCTATTCTATCTGAAAAATTTATTGGCCGCGAAGTTTACAAATTTTTGTAAGATTTTCGAGGCCTTAAGCACGTTTGGGCTAATAATTGTACACCTCCGTCACAACATCTTTTATTTGTTTGTTTAACTCAGATAGCTTGCAAATTACTTTTTACAATAATAATCAAATGGTCCTTTTAGAAAACTTACAAGGCAAGACTTCTGTATATAACAATAAATATATATTTTTAATCTTATATCAGTCTGTCACAATTGCAGTTTTTTAGAAGTATATTTTTGCTATAATTCAATTTTAACCACTTCTAGCACAGAAATATTAATGTCGTAGACTATACTACAGTTAACTATTTTACTTAGAAAACATCCAAACCGATACAAACAATCATACTCAATCAAATGTTTGTGCCGTGCGAGGAATCGAACCCGCGACCACCAGAAGTAAAACGGCGCACTAAACCACTAGATCACCGAGGCCGTCAATATTACGATTTATAAACATGAACAGTTTCGATACATCACTCTCTGGCATATTTACAAATGTATTATATTAAATACAACGAGTATGATGTATCGATGTAAGCAGAGGCATTTTCAATATTGCTTCAATACAACCTCTTTAGTTGTATGAAGTTATAGACGAATTATAATATACTAGCCATTCGACCAGGCTTCGCACGGGTGCAATACTTTATGGGCATGCCCATGCACCACTATGTCCGTGCATTTTAAATCTGTAATATCTTCGGAGATATTCATTTAAATTACATGTTGTATTTAATAAAGTAAACTTATTTTCTGTTTATATTGTTGGTGGCAGGATACACCGCTGCAGCCATAAATATCAGTTGCGCACAAGTCCAAGCAATGGATCCGCATCCATTACCAGTCCGTTTCTGCATTGCACCGCTTCGCTGGGACAAACGCAGCATCTATTTGTTCGGTAATCTGCAACAGTTTTTACATTCTTTCTTTATTTAGGTATATAAGTAATAGATGACCCGCAAAATAGATATTTTGCTATATTATTTCTGGATGGTTCCACCGCTATTATCTAGGTGTATAAAATATAGCCTATTTCAAAGATTCTCTGTCCGACTGAATATATGAAATTTTGGGGTAGGACACCACCCCAAAATTTCACAAAAATCGGTGAAGCCGTTTGGAGGTGCTTTTTATTTATTATAACTAGATGTAATGACTTTTTGTCACTCTCTTCAGTGTGAAGCTTTATTCGTTATTATTTGGAACAAATTGGTTATTGATATTTTGTTGTTATGGATATGTAACAACAAAATATCAATAATCTAAAGTATATTTTTATTGTGTGTTGTTACAGAACATGTAAATTTTAGATATTCGTTTTTCAATTTACTAATTAGTTTATTTTTGTGATAATTTCTAAACAAAGCATGTTTATGGAACGGGCATTTCTAACATTCTTGTAATTAGTAAACATAAATATAAATACGGACATAAATCTAAAGCAACGAAAAGGATTTGTTCTATAATAAAAAACAAATATCGGAATACCGATTGATCGATTTTTCTATACCTATGTGGTAAGTCAGTAAGTCAGTGTTAGTAGCCAGCACTGACTTATGATACTGTGAAATGAATACAGTAATACTAAGCTCAAAATATCGAGTTATCGATATTAAAATACATATTATTAAAGATCTTTAATTAAGTTTACACCTGTGGTTGAAAATGTAAACATCCAAGAACTAGCTTCGCATATTTTGGCACCGCAGACCAAAACTTATACCAATGTATATATAAACGTTTATAAAAGACAAATGGTTCGACTCGTACAATTGGCGAGTCTGAATCAATTGGTTCGTCTTGGGGGTTCGTTAACGCAAATACCAGTTCAAATGCCAATTTAATATACGTCCATTGTTTGTAGACGAGGCGAGAGGCGGATGCATTTTGACGGCAACTCGTTTATAGTTCGCAACGCTGGTCACTCTGCCGGCTTCGATGACAAGAATCAACTTAAGGTGTACTGAACCAACCAACTTACTTAATTCGCTGGCGAGTTTTAACCTCCGGTTCCCTTATACCACCATATTTTGTAATCACTACACAATGAATAGACTACTCCACAATACCAAGTTGTATAGAACTACACTATTTACATTTGAAACTGTTGGTTTCCACTTTTTTTTCATATTCTATTGTCTCTTTAGATTCGTTTGAAACACGTGGGTAGGTTCAAATTACACGGTGAATGCCTCCCTACTTTGTAATCAACGTTAGTGTGTAAAGCTTACATTAAATGTTTTTGATTTGTATTAGTGCGGTTCCAGACACTATTTGTGTCTAGATCATATGCTTTTGGAAGTAGTAATTTCATTTATAAGCAACATTAGCACTTCTTTAACACAGTGAAGAAAAATGCGGAATGGACTTGTACAAACGAAATATTGATTGATAATCAACTTCTTTGATCTTCACCTTCGTCTGGAATCGCCATTAGTTGATGTACTGCCATACCATAGATTAAGGTTACAGTTAGATGATCAAGTGTCAGATCACCATTGCTCAGGCCACTGTAATAATTTAATCGACATTTTTTACTTTATATTATTTTGATGTCTATATAGAAAGTGTTGATTTTCAAGTCTGATTATTAGTTCACAATTATTTATCTTATTATGTATCATGTGTGTTAACAACTAGCCTTGTAAAAACGGTTATTTTACAAGAGGTAAATTAGTTGAACTGTTCGGTTTTTACCTAAATAGCGCAATAGTTAATTCCGCCCCCATTCACCCGACCAACGCACTTCTCGTCTATTTAGCAGATCCCCAGACATAACTACAGTATTACTCACATGTATATTGTTTTGAAAATGTTGTAATAATATGTAGTCAGATAACAGATTTGGCAGTTGTTAACCTAAAAACAAAAGTTTGGATGCTACGACTCGAACCCACGTGTTTCTTTATATATAAAAAACTTCAAGTATGACGTTGTTATGAATAAAGCAATGACTACTTCAAATTGTTTTTTATTTTAATTTTAATTTTATTATGTACATACAATACTGCTTTTGTTAAATGTAATAATAGAGCTAAAAGAATAGAAAAGGAAAGAAAAACAAATAACAATAATCTTTGTCTCAAATAAAAACAAATACAATTGCTGCTTATAATAAAATATCTATAACTCGTACGGGGCAGTTAGTCCATCCTCTCTGCTATTCTACAATATAGCTGTATTAGTGCTATAACTATATGCTATATTAGTATATTAATACTATAAAATGACGACGATAGCACTTAACTTCAAAACTAAACATATATTCTGATTATTATTTTAATATTTTAGCTTTTATATAAGTCTTAATGCCGTAGAAAAGTTGGTAATTAAAACATTTCTAAGGCCCATAATACAAACACTACTTAATTTGATTCTAGCGGCCGCTACGCAATTGTGCAAGCTTCATTGTTCTATGTTTAGTAAAATTGTATATTATAAAAATAATGAGTCCTGCCTGTGAATTTACGCTAAATATATTGACAGGAATATTGGATTATTAGATACGTACGTGATTCTAAGGTTATATGTGCGGCCCCTATTAATTTCTTCCCCATAGCCCTTAACGAAAGCAGCTCCACGAGGGGTGACTTTGTCAAATAATTAAATAGATGTTTTTCTCGGGGTCCGACTAAATATATATATTACTAGCTCTGCCCGCGGTTTTAACCGCGTTAAATTTCAATATAAAATATCGCCTGTATTATTCTGATACATACGCTACATGACTGTAGAGTTTCATCAAAATCCATTCAGTAGTTTTAGCGTGAAAGAGTAACAAACATCTATACTAACAGATTTTTGCATTTATAATATTAATAAGATATATTTAATGAGAAATACTGTACTAACCATTGCTATACTGAATTGTAATATTAATAGTACGGAAAATAAGTCGCTGCAAATCATTGCACATTAATCTACAGAGGGATATTAACCCTATGATTGTTACTGGAAAGGCTATTTTGAATCGTAGCCCTTTCACAAAGGAAATATTGAGCTTCATCGTGCAACATGTAGTTTTGCTTACTAGACTTCTGTAGGCGTTTACTACATTACATTTTCTCAGTATTAAGAAAATGAACTCAATCGACAGTCAAATTATCTTTTAAATGCACTCTTGCATGAAAAGATGGATATTATTGATAAACGAACTCTCGAAGGGACCATATTCGCTTAATTTTTAATGAGATTGATTTTCACGTTGCATTGGATATTGTGTTCTTATGCAAGTAATTTTGATGTAGGGTATATGTACATTGGACAAGACGCTAGAATAGCAGTTGAGGATGCTTGCGTTCATCATGTTCCGCAGCTCCCATAAAGGATTTCATCATCATCATCATCATCATCTGCTTTTTCCATATATATCCCATTTATTGGGGGTTGGCGTGATATGTTCTCTTCCGCTCATCCCTGTTTGCAGTCATATCGTACCTCCCTTTTTTACCGTATCATCTTTCACACAGTCCATCCATCTCTTTTCCTGCCCTTATAACCATTGTTCTATATAACACCTTCCTTAAATGAATACATGTAATTCAGAAATTTAACTTATTAGCCAATGTTATTTTTATAGTAACCGTTATGAATGATAAAATAGTTGACGGTTTAGTATCTGCATTGGTGTAACTATAATATATTCCTTACATTATAATCTTCACACAGTCCATCTCTTTTTCTTCCGACCTCTGCCCTTATAACCATCCACAATCATATATAACACCTTTCTTAAATGATTACATATAATTTAGAAAAGAAGCTTATTAGCTAGTGTTATTTTTATATAGTAAACGTTATGAATGATACATTTTAGTATCTGCATTGGTGGTGTTACTATATTTTAAATATTAAGCTTTGTCTGATACCAGTAACCATATTGTAGGTCAAATCAGACTAAACAATGTAAAAAACATAGAATCTTACTAATTTTTACATTGTTTAGTTTAATACGAGTATCTATATTGTGGTAGGTGGCTTGCACTGTGTATATAATATAGTTCGGTGCGGTGCATCGTCGCTCCTTCCTATTAGCGAGTATTGATCGTCGGCGCAGCGCCGGTGGCGCCGCGGCGCGGACTCGGCCGGCGTCGTGCCTCGTGCGCCAGCTGTCAAAACCGCGTGACGTAACTAGTAGGGCGACGCACACGGCCGTCGTCTGCCGCTGGCTAACTACGCGTGTACGGTACGCTCCAACGCGTTGCATCGTGCATCCCGGTCCAGTGCACTGTGTACTCACGCCGCAGATTTCGCGCGGCAGGTGAGGCTGATTGGGGCCGGCGGGGCCCCGGCTGCTCGGAACGCCCGTCGCGGTATTGATCGCATCCCGACCGATTCCAATGTTTATAAACAGCCGGCCGCATATATTCGATCCCTCTTGTTTTTGATACGTTTGTCTGACGATTCGGACGGCTGATCCTGAATGCACCGACTGCGCCCGCACCGGCATCCCACGGACCGGACTCAGTGCACGTATGTATGCACTCCTTATCCCTATATCGTTGCAATTACGCAGCAATACGCTAGGATCGTCTCCGTGAAGCCGCAATCTGTTTCTAACTATAAATAAAATAGGCCCCTACATTATTCTTACAAGTTGTAAACATTTATGTGCTGTCACGCAGTGTTACTCAATCGATCTCCTTTACTGCGTTCCAAATAATTCATAAAATTTGATGGCCACGTTAATTTTCGTCTTTAACGTATTCAACAGAAACATAATGTATGTCAAGAAATTGTAACAAATTGATTTATAATGTAATGTATAGATTACACATTACGTTGTTTTTATTTACTAGCACCCTTAAGTACATGAAATATACATATATCTGAATAATATTATAAACGTGACAGTTTGTGAGTATGGATGGTTCTTACTCTTTCACGCCAAATCTGCTAAACGGATTTTGATGAAACTTTACATCAGAATACAGTCAAACAGACATTCAAATTATGTCTTCATATATGTATATACTGTAGTATTGAAGTTTATATATAAATATAAATACATATGTAAAAATTATAACATCAGAATTTAAGGCACGAATTAGATTTTGTTTTCAATTCTGTGGATATAGTACACGTTTGCATTCTTTACTCTATCTAGGTATGTATGTTAAAAAAGTTTACACTTCTAACATTTGATTACAATTATTCAGTTAGGTCTTTCAGCTAGTGTATTTTATATATTTAGACTAGACGTTGTTTTGTTATGTTTCGGCACATCGATTCCTAACAGCATTATACGTCGGACTCGATGGTGTAGTGGTTTAACAACTACTTTACTTGATGGTCGCGGGTTCGATTCTTCACATGGCATTTTGTATTCATAAGTATGATTGTTTGTATCGGTCTGGGTATTTACTATGTGTAACATGTATGTATTTGTGTCAATTAACCTTTACCCTTCAAACAACCTTTAGATAGCTTAACTTGGGTTTAGATGGCGCTGTAGGAGTTGGACTGAGATTATTATTATTATTATTATAATACCTAAGGATCAGGAGACTAAAATTCTCAATATTCAAATAATATTAATAATTTTAATTCACGTGCACATTTTAATAATAATAATATCTCAGGACAATTCACACAACGCCATCTAGACCCAAGCTAAGCTGAGCTTGTGTTATGGGTACTAGACAACTGATATATGTACATGGATACATTTATTTTGTAAATAAATGATATAGAAAACACTCAGACCGATTCAAAAAATCATACTCATGAATACAAATGTTTGTACCGTGCGAGGAATCGAACCAGCGACCATCGGATAGTAAAGAGGTGTGCTAAACCACTAGACCAGCGAGGCTGTCACTATTTTGACTTGCTGATTGTTGTTTCAAAATTGTTCTGCTAATGTTGTGTTAGAATTGAGTTAGAATAGGATTTCAGCAGAAAATAATAGGCTACGGAGACCGTTTACCATCAGATGGGCCGAATTCTTGTTTACCACCGACGCAGTAAAAAAAAAAAAAGTTTCATTACAGCGTTTTGTTAGGTTAAAGGTTAGAAAGTGATTAGTTACCATATTATATTCGGCAACTGGACTCTTTTGTCAGACAGGCGTGGATATTACTACCCACTACAAATACTGCAACAGTGAATTCCAGTGGGAACCTTGTGAAGGTCGACCTCATATGGTACATTGCTAGCAATGGGGCCACTAGTCATTGCCCACAGCAGTGATTTAACACAAAAGTCGTGGGCATTAATATCTTATTGAAATCTGAAGATGATGTTTCACAAAAACAATTTAATGGTCATTGATTTAGTAGACACATATGATATGGTAAGAATGGGAGTAAATAATGAGATGACTGCGAACAGGGATGAATGGAAGAGAAAAACATATTACGCTGACCACAAATAAATGTGATCAGGAAGAAGCAGATGATGATAATGATTTAGTACAAAAGATCATTTTCGGGAAATCATTTTTAACAATCATTATTATAGGTTCTGTTACGTGCTGGTTGGTAGTTTGTATTCTCACATATCGACTTGTAAATGTGAACTTACAAGGATCATTTAAAAGATCAACACACAAGTTTCTTGCTCGTTCTTTTTGTGATGAGACAACTTTCCGAATGGGCGGTAGATAAAAAAAAATGTTATGACTATTCAAAAATGCTTAAATTAAGTTTATTAGAATAAATGATTTTCTATTCTATTCTAGTCTATGTTTCCCATACACATATAGAGATCAGTTATACTTTTAACTAGCTGTACCTGCGTTAAAATTAAATAAAAATTATAGCCTAAAGTACGATTATTTATCCAGCCAGTAAAATGACAAGTGCAACTGTCACTGATACAAAAAAGGGTGACCCGCTACAATAGTGATGTGCGGCAATCAATAGACTTAGACATTTAGTCATGCTTTATTTTATTAGGTATCAAAGCGTTTTTTTTTATTGTTAAATATTAAATACATACCATATTAAATATTACGATTTTAGAAATATGGACCTTACCAGCATATTAAAATTTCTCACTATAACATTATTACAAATGCTGGGAAAAAATGTATAAAGAGATTCAGAGGAATTAACATTAGAATTTTTATTTATATAAAGGCAATTTGATATTGAATAAAAAAAATCTAATCTCGACTAACTTTTAATTGTTAAATCTCCATTGTACCACATCACTATTTATTTGGGAGTAAAAACTTGCAACACTGGAAATGTCTTTTTACTGACTGGAATTAATAATCTTACTTTACAAGGTATTCTGATGCATAAGCTAAAATCTGTTCAGTAGTTTTCGCGTGAAAGAGTAACAAACATCCATACTTACAAACTTTCGCATTTATAATATTATATTAGGATATATCTATACATATATAGACCTAAACGACAAGTAAGAGACTTCCTCCTTAATATTTAAGTTTCGTTCAGGATGGTATTTTAATATATGTTTAGTACAACGTAAGATAAATTTATCTTACCTTAAAAATTATGTACGTTGTTCATAATATGGGTGTAGGTCGTGTAAGTGTATATATGTGATTATTGTTAGTTACATACATTTTAATTCATATTATACTTATTTTTATTTTCCTTCATCATCATTATATGTTTGTTATTACATTTTTGGATATCACTTACCTGTTCGATATTTATATCCATTTCTCTAAGGATGCCTTTAAAAAGATTGGTTCAGCAATAAACTAGCCTAGCCTTTTTGTAGCCATGAGTCCTTTAATATATTGTTTGTCTTTTCTTACTGTATGTTACAAACAAATTATATTCTATCTATCTAATACCTGAATTTTTTTTAAATGATATTTTTTTTACTTAACTTATACTCTAATTCCTCAATTATTTCTAAAAGAGAATAAAATCCCGAGAGAAATTTACTTTTGAAAAATTTAGTTCAAGAAACTGTTTTGCTTAAGTCAGTTCATGATATTGTCCATATCCAACTTACTAAGAAAGATATTTTATTCTACTGTACCTAATTTACAAAAGTTTAATATAATATGCAAATTATTTGAACACGACCCAGTTTTGGCAATCCCATTAGATGAGGTCATAGTCATATGCCAGACCATTTCTAGGCCCCTACTGGAGTTTACGACGGCAGGAAGCTTACATTTTCTGCGTTCGGCCTGTATATCGGACTGGGACACTTATAAACGTAGGATATCCTGTTGTTTTCTTGTGTTTCATCGAGGAAATTAATTAACAAGAGTAGAGCAACAAGGCCGTTTATTTTGGGGCATCTATTATTTTTGTCCAAATATAGAATAATCTTTTAGCAGAATATCGAGTTATATTATGGTCACTCCATGTAATTTTATGTGTATATAGAAGGCAATTTCCGGTATCCAGACCGGATGAACCATTAGCAGAGTAGGCAACCGCCATGAGGCCCCTCAGCGGCTCTTAGCCTTCTCATTAAAAATCGGAACTGCACGCGCACAAAAGAAATAAAGATGTTTTAATAGAGTGACTTTTTTTAAGGATGATAATGGAATAGTGCACAAGCCAGCACTAACGGTTTACCTTGGCGGGGCACCAGTGGAGATTGATAGGATGAGCATGAGGTAGTCAGTTAGCCCATCGTAACAATATCACTAAAAATTTATCAAGATCCAGGGGGAACCGCGTGTAGGTCAACCTGACATGGTACATTGCCAGCAATAATCATCAGTCCACATTACTAATAATCACCTTTCCCCCAATTACAATAGGTTAAGTATAACTGTGGTATAACTTATTGTTTCGACTTTTTGTTTATTTTGTCCAGAGTCTTGTTTGCAGATTTGCTATTATATGACAGATAGCCGTAAAAATTAATATAAAATGACTACCACTACAATTTAATGTAATAAATACATGGACTACATATATATAGATAGTATCTATACAAAACGTTAGGCCGTTAAATTCTCAGAAACCATGTTACTACTTATAATACAAGAAAATGTTCAACAAAAAATTCAATTTAATCGTGATGATAGCGAGATTTTTCGATTAAATAAGGATTCAACGGAATTAGTTCAGAATTGGCGATGATGCCGTGTAATATGTAGGTAATAACTTGATAAAATAAAGTCGGTTTACAAAATAATCGATTCTTTTGTGTTTAACAGATCTTTGTCTACGTTAATAGATAAGTGTTATCTGCCATATACTAATATATTTTTTTATTTATCTGGAATAGCAAACAAGCTGGATTGTAAAAGGGATATTAATACATTATGCAATTCCAGAGAATTAAGGTGTCATACCCTGCAATTTCTCTGCTTTACATATATATATATATATAGTGATCGATATAGATAGCCTTTCATCCGAATACAATACAGCTTACTAAGCTGCTTGGGGATGGAATAAGGGCGACAGAGGCGCAGATGTAGTACTGTGTACATTGTATAAATAGTAGATACATATAGGGTTTAGTAAAGTTTAAAATAATATTTACCTTTATTAATATTCTTCATTTTGCACATACACATT